AACTCAGGACCAAGAATTAAATATGTGTTGAATGCATGACATTGCATCAAACTTAGCAAGCAGAAATATCTATGCGCTGTAACTAACTTATTACTTTATTTCCAAGTTTGGGATGTTGAGGGGAGGCCTGTTCTTTCCACGAAACTTGTGTGTAACTGCCAGAGGGATTCTCTTACAGTTATTCACAGAAAAACGGGCTCCTGTCTAAAAACTTGATTAAAAATTTTAATAAAAGTTGCTAAAGAACATACTTTACAGCTATTAAAATTATATTTAAATGAGGTCAAATATAATGGGTACGGTATGTTTTTGTTTAAAAAAAATATGTTAAGAAAGTAAATGAGCATGAGTGATGAGTAATGGCAAAGAAATGAAAATTAATTCAGCCTACTGGAAGGATAAATTTTATCAAGCACATAAGCAAAAGTGTGTCAGTAACACACGAGGCAAAGTGATTATGTACCACATTATTGCTCCTGTTCATTATTGCGATTTGGTGGGTTGCTTCTGTGAGTACCATAAGGTTAAATAAAAGTTGTTGTTGGAATCGAGGAGAAAGTGAAGAAGCAGAAGAGAGAAAGAGACAGATGGAGGATAGAAAAGAGGAGAGTGGATAAGAAATGTTGTTGAGAGAAGGGAATGAAGTAGCGAGGCCTTGGTAAGCAATATTCATGGTCTATGATGTGGCACTGTTCAGAAGTCCCCCCGCAGAAAAATGAATTAATTCTTCTCATGAGAGGGTAGTGTTCTCCAGGAGAGGGATTCAGGAGCTCTCCTGCTCCCTTTCACTCAAAGGAAGAGCAGTCTGGGGGGGTTAGTTTTGTTTGTTTTAAAGACCAGACAAATTCAAATGTAATGACCGGTGACTAGGTGTCATGGAGGATTGTGATAGGAGAAGTCTTTCACCTGTATGTCAGCTGTTCCTTGTAGCACTGGTTGATAGTGACCCAAAGTAGTTCCCATCGAATAGCTGTTTGGTTGATGGCACTCAGTAAAGAAACCTAGGATTGATGGACTTGAAGACTGATCTGTCCTCTCTTCCTAGAGTTAGACCCCCTAGAGCAGAACGGAGGCATACTGGTGGGACAGCACAAAGAAGCTTTCACTGTCGTAGCTGGAGATATACCTGTTCTGTGGAATAACAGAGGAGTTTAATTCCCAGGGCTGAACACTTAGTGACAGAATTCCCTTTTCTATCAACATACAAACTTAGCAAAACTTGTTTCCTGTCAATTTGCATGATTATTTCAAGTTCAGTTCTTTTGAAAAATAATGTTAGCTATGTATTTACATTAGTCACTGTTTGTGGCTAATTTATTATATCATTCATTGTTATTAACTATTTCACTTACTCAGTGCCTGGTCAAAGACACGCTTGTGTGGACAGCTGCAAAGCATGTTATTAATGGATTCTCTGCAGAATATAGAGCAGAGTAAATGGGCAGGGTCGTCCCCCCCACATCACAGCACACATACGTGCACGCATTCAAAACTGATGGGGTTCCCTTTATTCTCAATCTGGGAATAACCAAATGTAAACCATAGCCTAAGTTTCCTCTTGGCTGGCTGGCTGTTTCTAAGCGTGTCCCCTGCAAGCCCTCCTGCCTTAGTTCTTCCTTCCCAAGAAAGGGATGTGCAAACCCTTTTATACTGGGCACTCGAGCTAATGAAACTCCTCTGGCCTCACATAACTCAGCAGAATTGCCCTGTCTCTCCCTCATAGCACCTGCCAGCCTCTTACAAGTAGGTTTTCTTACAGAGAAATGTACATTCTGGAAAGAATTCCTCTTGATGACAAAAAACAGGGAAACTTCTGGCTTTGTTTCTAAGGCAACACACCAACCTACATCCAGCTTTTAATTTCTGTTGGGTATCCGATTTATTCTTACTACTATGCAAGGTCCCACGGTTCCTTTGTCTTTTTCCTGTCTGGCTTTGATCCTCTCTGCCTTTTGAATATAGCACAGCTGCTGCAGCCTGGGTCTCACACCTGCACTAGTCAATAGATGAGAGGCTAGATGTGGGAATAGAGCTGGGCCAATGCTGCAAAACATTGTTTCTATAAATTTCCGTTGACATTTTTAAGGAATTCATTGTAGCTCTCTGCTCGCCCCTTCCCAGAGGAGTCTTCACTAATATCAGAGCCAGTAAATTAACAGAACCAGCAAAATTTAAGCAAATATTAAAGAATATTCATGGGCAATGAATATTAAATCTGCAGTATCAGAGCATTTTCACAAGGGAGCTTATTCTAACCGTTATATTCATCCAATGGGGGAACTGGGCTGTACCAGGGGCTAGATGATGTATTGGACTACATATCCATCCAGGGGAGGGAGGGGAATAAGGAGTCCCACTCGGCCCCTGCAGAGGAATAAGCAGGTGCTGCATGCCTGCTTACATATCCCTGGAGCAGGTAATGGGGGGTGGCTAGGAGGCACAGGGAATGGTGGATCCTCAGCTCCACTGGCCAGTGCAAATGAGCCGGTACGAGCAGTGTCATAATTTGCTGCTGGGCTGGGTCTGGCCACCACCAATTTATCACCTCTTCCCTGTCCAGAGCAAGAGAAAAGCAGCGGAAGAATTGCAGAGGGTGTCTGAGTTCTAGTTTCTTCCCAGGGCCGCTCCTGGGGTGGTGCGGTTTATGCAACCCTTCTTCAGGGCTGCATATAAATTCACAGCCCCTTGTGTTCTAGATGATCATCCACGCAGACTATATTTTGAATACTTGCACCAAACTGCTCACAAAGGAGCAAGAGACCAGGAAATGGTTCTGCCAATCTTTCTGGGTAATGGATGCATTCAAGAAAATTGCAACCTGCATGTGAACAATTTGCAAAGAGAAAGAAAGGCAAAATTCACTATATTAGTTATTCCTTGCAGATATTCATCCATCTCCACTGAAGACCACGTGGCCTTCCCTTGGGCCACAAGAAAATTCCTGGCAGGCCACACTTGGAGTAGAAACTCAAAAACACATTGAAATCTGAGAAGCCCATAGGGACATTAGCTGCAGATTTCTCCATTACACACAGTTTCTTCATGTTGTTCTTCCAGTGCAGATGAAACTTGACTATGCAGCTGTTGTGAGTTGTGAAATATATTTTCCAAGAGGATCAATTAATTTGTGTTTCATGAGACTGTATTTAACAAACAAACAGACCAAGAAAGTAACAGCCTTTGTCTTTTTTCCAAACACTGAACGAAAATATTCTGTCACACTGGAACATAATAGAGAGAGTGCACTTTCAGCATGCAGATGTACAGCAAAAAGAGCCTTGTTTTATGTTCTTTTGCACAGTTATATGAACTCAGTGTACTCGCAAATGCTTTTTGGGGGTGGGAGGCTGTGACATGAATTAATGTCAAAGCAAATGAAGTAAAATGACAGGCAGAGAATCAGTTGCAGCACTGCTGATGATCCCATACGTTGCAGATCTGTTATTGACCATCTAATTATCTTTGGGAAATTGTGCTTTCAACAAGCAGGCCTTTTATCCTGAATTGATATTTCTGTAACAACTACTGGTGTGAGTCAATATGCAGAGGAGCAAAAAGGTGTCTGGGTCTCATGCTGTACTGTATATTCAAAGGAACACACATTTTCCCAAACAGGCTGTTCAGTGAGCTTCAGTGGGCCAGATTCAATTGCTTTGACCAGAGTTAAGCCAGGGGTGAATTTGGCCCACTGTCTGCATGGAAACTATGCACTTCAGTACGAAACAGATTTACACCTGGTTTTAGCATTCATGGTAGGACATTCAGAAGAGTAGCAGAGTTTGATTTTTTTTTTCTTTTTCCAGTCCAACCACCTCTGCTGTCTTTAATAGACATTGTGTGGGCCAGATTTTCTAACATGGCTGCTTAACTTGCATCTACAAAATCTGCATGTGCCAAACCCTGGTGTTTGCATTCTCAGGTAGATGGCGACAGGCATAGAAATCTACTCCCTGGAGCCAACATGCATCCAGATTTTGCAAAAGCACTGGATGTGCCTGCCTGTCCCTTGGGGCCCTTATCCTGTAAATACTTCCACACATGGGTAGTCCCCCCTGGCTCAGTGGGAGTATTTGCATCGTATGGTTGCAGGTACAAGGCCTTTATTGGTTCTTTGGAGATGCCCAGGCCTGAAAAGAGGGTCCTATAGTTGATATTATAATTTTGTATTAAAACTTCAATTTTTCATTACTACTTAGCACTCATATACAGCAGATCAGCCCCTCCCACAGTAAACGCTCTGGGAGGGAGCCCATGTTGTCTGACCAGGTGGGCAGGGTTCTGCTTCCTCTCCCCCATCCCCCCAAGAGTGTAGGACCTGCCCACAAACCTGGCAGATTATCCCCTGGGTATGAGGGCCATCCCTGTGAAGGCCCTGTTCCTCTGCTAAGGCTCTGGTCCCTGGTGTGGCTCCCTCTGGCTCCCTGACAGCATGTCTATATTGGAGCTGTGCTGGCAGAGCCTGCAGTGGCTCTCAGGACTCCTGGAGAGTTCCGTGGAAAAGGAAATACTCCCGGGTATGCGTTGCCTTTCCTTGGTAAGGTATGTGGGACTGGAGGAGGGATGCTGTGCGTTCCCTTTGGCCCAACTTCCAGCCTGCCCGATCTCCCTCCCCCCACCCCCGAAACTAGACCATGCAAAGTGCCCTCTGTAGGGTCTCAGTGGAGAACCGGAAACAATGCCACAGAGCTGGCTCATCAGCCCTGTGTGTGGAGACAGTCGTCTCTAGTATTGATCTAAGGGTGACGATTTGGCCCATCATGCTTGAAATCTCCAAAGTGTTGTGCAAACTCCAATAGCGCTGTGAGGCAGGTGGGTATGTTTCCTAGACATCTGTTTGTTTGATGCCACATAATAATAACGGTTACATTTAAAAGTGTTATAGGCACTCAAAAGGAACATTAAATCCTCTTGTTTCTTCCTTGTAATTAAAATAACTCCTGATGCAAAACAGCACACTGTGGATCTAGGATGAACCTAGTGTCCTTTCTCTTACTCTTCAGAAATCGAAGCAAAGGAAGCGTGTGACTGGTTACGAGCTGCTGGATTTCCACAATATGCTCAGCTCTATGAGGGTACGTTGTTATTATTTCTATTACTCCTAAAGTGTACTGAACATCTCAGCAGACACAGACCTGGTCTAAAATGTTTACAATATACAGTGTTGCCAACTGTTGTGATTTTTATCCTGAATCTTGCAATATTTCGTGATTTTTCTTAGAGCGCCAGCTCCTGGACTCATGTGAATATGTGAAAATCTCAGCTTTCATTTTTTTAAAAAGTACATTTCTAGCCCTCGTGTTTGCAGAGAAAAGCTTGAAAATGTGGCCTGAATGAGCCCCAAAGTTCAAAAACCAGGATGCAAATAAAAAGAAAACAAAATGTATTTTTTTTTTACTCTCATTAATTTTAAGACCAGCTGATGATTTTGGGGGCCTGACTCATGCTGTTGAATGCTTGGGGTTCGCAATACTGTATCTAATGTCCTGCTTCTACAAATTACTCTGCCAGATAAATCTCTCCACATGCACAGAGCTGCTTGCGGATCACAGCCTAAGTTTAGACATAACTTCTAGTTAGACTTGTCATAATGAGTGAATTGGGAGGAACAAGGAAGGAAAGGAGAGACAAGAAGGATGAAGATTAAGAGCTCAGTTCTTTTAACACACTGATGGGAGATGGGACACTCAGAAATCAGAGAAAGAAAAATAATTGTTATGGAAAAGAAAACACAAAATATATAGAAAATGAATCTGAAAATGCAAACGCTCTGTCAAGCTGGTTGTAAATCTTCTAACCTGATCTTCCCACATTTGTGTGACTCTCAATGGAAGGCAAGGACAGCAACCAGCTCAGTGATAATTCAGATCCCAGATGTGCTGAACCACTACCCCAGAACTGGGTGAAGTTAGTGTAGCCAGCAGCGGGAAGATGGGACTCTTCCCTCTGGCTTCTCCTGCTGGTTGCATCCAGAGCTGGTGATTGGAGGCTTTCTCTCTTCCCAGCTGCTGTTTGGCAGCTTCTCCAGAAGGAAGTGGAAGAGTTTAGTCTTGCTGCTGCACACAACAAACAGCACAATGGGGGCCAGGATTGGCTTCCTCTTGTTTCCCTCCCTCATAGCTCAAAATTGGGGCAAAATTATTGCTGTTGCCCCGACTTGAAGGTTGGGGAGAGAGCAGAAGAATGTTCCCCTCACCCCGCCCCCTCTGCCCCAGTAACTGGTCTGTGATGAACATCCACAATTCCCTTAAAGTCAATAGGAGCCAAAGGTACTCAACATCTAATAAAATCTGCTGGAGTATAGTCATGATACTGGGATCCATCCAACTGTTACAGAAACACAATAATCTGTGTGCACCCAAGTCACTTTTCATTACAATTGTCAGTTTCCAGCATTTCCATCTTGTTTTTAAATTTCAGACTAATATTTGGGGTGACTAGTATGGTCAGCTCACTTCTCATCTATTGCTTGAGTTACCCTTTTTTTAAACTCTTTGTTATTGTGTGTTGTGCTAACAAAATAGTCAAACCATTTCTACTGCATGGTAAAGTCTGTCTAGCAAATATTTCACTGACTCGCTAGGACAGGAGTGGATGGCCTTAGTGCCCATGTTGATGATTAAAGTGTTGTGGTAATTCTCAGATCTCATTTTTTGGGGATAGTGATCAGGTAGCAATGCTAAGCATCTAATATCTTCTTATAGCCAGAGCCAAACATGTTGCTATCTCTTTGGTTCACAGGACTGTTAACTCCCCTTTTAATATAAAAAATAAAATTATGTGAAGTGACCAAACAAGTCCTGGAAGCCATACAGGGAAACAACTAAGGCCAAGTTAAATAAGTCATACACCATTTCTGCCGATAAAACACATGCAGTGCATCTTTGAAATAAACTGTTTCCATTTGAATAAAAAGTAGTTGGTTTAATACTACGTTTCCTTTTTACAGATTCCCAGTTTCCTATTGACATTGTAGCTGTAAAGAAAGATCATGACTTTCTCGACAAGGACCTTGTAGAACCCCTTTGCAGGTAAATGACATCCACTGTTTCTTTTTTTGGTATCTTAAGAACCTTGGTGGATTTTTGTTTTGAAAGTAGTGGCCCAGCCTAAGAGATGTTTGTTTGTCCTTGTCAATTAAGTGGGTGTAATCTGTAGTTTTTTTCAGAATAAATGCTAGAAACCTGGATTCATTTCTCTCCCAAAAATCCTACAGCAGGGGCCAATTTGCTCTCTGAAAATTCACAAGATTTAAAAAGGGTCCAAATCTATCAGCCCATCTCATCAATGGAGTGAGGCTGGCTGCCTTTTGGAAAAAACAGTGCCAGCAAACCCAGCATAAATTAGGGATCTGTGTGTGGGTAACACATGGGTAACTCTGCCCCTGACTACCACAAACAAGAAGAAACCCCATTGCCCAGAACCTTCTTCCCTCTGACAGCAAGGATGGCTCGCATGCTACTATGCTGCCATTGGCTCCCAGTTGTTGTTGTTATTTAATTGTAGTACCGCAGCCCTTAGGAGCCCTAGTCAGTGACCAGGACCCCATTGTGCTAGTGTAACACCAACAGACCCCCATCATCAGCGGGCGGGATCAAACCTGGGACCTCTGTCTGGAGCTAAATGCATGAGCCTCTGCCACATGAGCTAAAAGCCATATGCCTGTTAGCTAAGGCTGTAGAATTTCATTAATCTCTCTCTCTCTCTAAGTGGTCTCCATGCTACTATCTGGGACAGAACACCACACCTGGGAGGTGTGTGGGTTACACTACGTGCTATATAAATACCCAGTTGCAGATGCTCAGAGCTCCACCCTTGCCAGAGAGTTAATGTGTTTCTGTTTGTGTTGCTTTTTGTTCTTTGCCTGACGGGAGTGTGCCACACACAACTTATGCTTTGCCCCACCCTAACCCCTCACCAGCTGTGGAGCACCTACCTTGTGGTAGTCCTGGAAAAGGACTTTGGGTGGGGAGAAGAAATGACACTGCAAAGGCACTGACTGCTCCCCTTTTCCTTCTCCTGTGCTCCACTTGGGCTGGGTTCTGCTCCTCTCCACCTGAGTGAGTACAAGGGAGCATCAGGCCCATAATAAGGCAGGGTCCACTACATGAAACTGCAGCTTTCACAATGTCAATAACACATTAAGCCTGGAAGTGATTATTGGTTCTAGACATCTTAGACCCACTGCATATGGGGTGATATGCATGCAAGGAGTGATGAGCCTGGGGCAGGGGACTTCAGAACGGCGTTTGGGAGAAGCCAGTGGAAAAGGTCCCTCAGGATACAGCTACACTCGAGCTAGGGATGTCATATCCAACTCGGGTAGATGTACAGGCACTAGCATGCTAGAAATAGAAGTGTAACTGCAGTAGATTGCACAGATGTTCAGACTATGACTGTGCTGCTCTCTGAGCTCCATTGGGCTCCTTGAGCTTGGCTGTCCTACAGAGGGGCTTGAATGTGCCGGTGGAGTCTGCCAGGCTCCTATGTCTAGGTTAATTTTTGATTGATGGGGAAAACAAAGTGGTGGTGGTATGACCCAAATGCCACCTACTTGTGGCACGAAAACATGGCCTCACTCACAGTAAATTATGCAGGTATATGATCCTGCCTCTCCTTTCTTACATGAGGAATTAAATAGTTAACAGTGCTGACATTTAAATAAATAAATAAATAAATAAATGGAGATATCCCATCTCCTAGAACTGGAAGGGACCTTGAAAGGTCATCAAGTCCAGCCCCCTGCCTTCACTAGCAGGACCAAGTACTGATTTTGCCCCAGATCCCTAAGTGGCCCCCTCAAGGATTGAACTCACAACCCTGGGTTTAGCAGGCCAACGCTCAAACCACTGAGCTATCCCTCCCCCCAATTATGATCATTGGGCATCTGAGTTAACACCTCACTGAGATTAGTGGGGCAGTTCACATTCGCAGAGCTGCTGTTCCGAGCTCTGTGCAAACACACAAAAACATCCATGCAGCGGTCACACCCAGCTCACATTTTTGAGGATTTGTTTGCAACCGGAACAGTTAGAGACCTTTTTTTAAATGGAAGATGAGATTCTGGAGAACAAGGTAGCAGCTGGAGAGGTGTGTCGTTGATCCACCATAACACTGGGCTGTGTTCTAGGCTCTGGTATAGTCTAGGGCAGGGGCGGCCAACCTGTGGCTCCAGAGCCACATGTGGCTCTTCAGAAGTTAATATGCGGCTCCTTGTATAGGCACCGACCCTGGGGCTGGAGCTACAGGCACCAACTTTCCAGTGTGCCGGGGGGTGCTCACTGCTCAGGCCCTGCCCCCACTCCACCCCTTCCCACCCCTCCCCTGAGCCTGCCATGCCCTCGCTCCTCCCACCCCCTCCCCCGAGCCTCCTGCACCCCACGAAACAGCTGATCAGGAGGTGCGGGTTGGGAACGGGAGGCGCTGATCGGCGGGGCTGCCGGTGGGTGGGAGGCGGGGCCCGGGCCATCCCCCTTGGGGAGATGGGGTGGGAGCACCACCCAGCCCCAGTATGCCCCCAGAGCAACTCACCCCCAGACGCAGCTCCACTCCACCCCTTACTCCGCCCCCAGCCCAGCTCTGCCTCCAGCCGCAGCTCCACTCCACCCCCTGCTCTATCCCCAGCCAGATCTGCCTCCAGCCGCAGCTCCACTCCGCCCCTGCTCCGTCCCCAGCCAGATCTGCCTCCAGCCGCAGCTCCACTCCGCCCCCGCTCCGTCCCCAGCCAGATCTGCCTCTAGCCGCAGCTCCACTCCGCCCCCAGCCCAGCTCTGCCTCCAGCCCCAGCTCCCCTATGCCCCCTGCTCCGCTCCCAGACCAACTCCAACCCCAGCTCCACTCCACCCCCTGCTCCGCCCTAGCCCAGCTCCACCCTCATTCTCTCTCCATCCCCAGGCCAGCTCCACCTCTAGCCTCAACTCCTTTCCCATCCCCAGTTCTGCCCCCAGCTCCACCTTCAGCCCACGCTCCTCTGCTGAGGAAGCCTTGGCTGTGAGTAATGGTGGGGGAGGGGCAAACATATTCCATTACTGGTAAGGGTGGGGGGGAGTGACAGGAAAAATTTGGGCACCACTAGTCTAATCCATAGCTGTATGGGGAGAGTAAGACTGTATCTACCATACAGGCAGGGGCAGAACCATTATTCTGCCAGGTGTTAAATTGTTTGGAAGGATATCTTTTCAGATCCCAGATTTTCATTGTAATATGATCAACTCTTAGTTGAGAGCCATTGGGTGCATCTGGCTGTCGATATTTGTGTCCCAAGGTCTATACATAGACACACCTTTCTTACAAGTTTCTGTGTTAAATTGGGGCAAACGGAACCTTGCTGGCCCACAGCTGTACTTAATTTCTCCAAACGGAGAGGCCTAATACCCAACAAGAGAGCCCCTCAGAAATCATTATTGTCAATATTTTAATTGTTATACTGACCTAGTGGGACCTCTGAGGGACAGGGGAAGGGTCAGTTTTTATTTCCTTGTATTCGGTGGCCCATATGAATGAGTTTGCTCAATTTCAAGGTTCTATTTCAACAGGAACAATGAATTGTGCTGGCCAGTCACACACTTACAACCGTCTGTATTTTATTAGCTATCACATTTTTCAAAACTATGCAATATACTTTAACCCCCCATAGCTTATCTGACCACCATCGGCAAGCTCCAGGCCCTCCCAGTGCTCTGTGATGGCTGGGGCATTACTACAAGATGCTTGCTGGGGTGTCATGTAGGAAACAGCTGGCCAGGATGTCCACTTGTAAAATGGAAAACAAAAAAAGTCAACTATTATTTGTGTGTGTTGAATGTCCCTCATAGGGCCCAATCTAAAACTCCCACTGACTTCAAAAGAATGCATGACCAAGCCTTTAGACTGATTAGTGAGACATTCAGCTCAACTACATAGATTTTTCATTTGCAGCGTAACTTTGAAGCTGAACTATCAGAGCAGCTCTTTAGGCTGAGCAGAGTTTGAACTCTGGACCCCCTCACACAGACTTTTACCGCTAGAGCTTAGGCTCTGAATTTCTCAGCTTTTGTGGACAGAAGTCAGCCCTTTAACTTTATTTCAACAATGTTTTTTGTGTTATAATGTAGTGTAAAAGCGAATATGAGCGACATCACAAAGAAAGCACTTCTCTTATAGGGTAGCTAGTAGCAACCTCTATTCAGAAAGCCTAACACTTCCCATTTTATAAAGTCTAGTGATTTTCTTTTTGAGCTAGTCTAATACCTCCATTGTTTGCAACAGGCCTTTTAAATTTTGCAGGGGGAAAGCCCTCAGTTTAGAGAAGTACCTTTTCTTTGTTCCCATGAGATTTTATTCCGGTTTTATTGAGATATAAATGGTAGGAAATCGTTGTTTCCTTTCTCTCATTTGCATTCCTGAGGCAAGATTTGTCAGATAGCCAAAATAGAAATTGAACATTAACATTCTGTGGCTGGGCCTACTTCGAAAGCAGCAACAATGAACACTGATTTGGGAAGATGTGTGAACTTTCAGAGCAACTGTTGTAGGGGAAGAGCCAGGCCAAGTTCCACCTGCCTTCTCCCTAACTCATCACATGGCCCCAGTGGCCCAGCGGTGGAGCAGGATCTCTCTCAACTGGTTTGTTCTGGGCCTGGCTCTCCCCAAGCAATTCCTGGACCCACCACCTGGCTCCAGTGGACAGTCCTTCACTGAGAGATAACAGCTTCTTTCCTGCTACTGCCATCTGAAATTAGTCCTATAGCTCAAGTGGCATAAGCATATACTTTACTGGTGAAAATTCAGCATTCAAACCCTGTTTGTGAGGCATGGTGGAGACTGTTACAGCTGTGTGTAATAGTCTGTTTTTACCTTTTTCCTTAAAAAAAAAACTCTAGGAAATAATGTGCAAATAAACTGCTTTAAAAGAACATTATTTAGGTTGCACAATCTAGCACTTAAATGTTTGACTTTGCAACCTGAATAGCATTCTTTTAACATACTGTTTTTCATGTAAATATATTGACCAAGTTTTTTAACATGTGTATAATTTTTGAGTCTTAAACCACTGTTTAGGCCCCTAAATAAGTGCCCTTATTTTCAAAAGTGCGAAGCACTCACCAGCCCCATTGAATTCAATATTTTTAAACTGTGGCCATTCATTCTTTACATAGTTATTCTCTATTTCATAGCTTGTAATTGCTCCAAGGGGCACTATATACTGTATAGATTATTATACTGGTAAGGATTGTTTAAATGTATATTATATACTCAATACTCTACAGTGTTGATACAGAATTCCAGATTTTTTAAAACTTGGGTTTTGAAAAAAAAAATTGTTCAAGGTGCCATTAGAAGATCAAGGCACAGTAAAAGCCCAATCTAGTTCAATTAAAGGCAATAGACAGGCTCCTAATAATTTCGTTGAGGGTTGAATCAAGCCCCAAGGCATATACAGCATATTGTAAAGTCTAAGAACATAAGAATGGCCATACTGGGTCAGACCAAATGTCTATCCAGCCCAGTATCCTGTCTACCGACAGTGAGCAATTCTAGGTGTCCCAGAGGGAGTGAACCTAACAGGTAATGATCAAGTGATCTCTCTCCTGCCATCCATCTCCACCCTGTGACAAACAGAGGCTAGGGACACCATTCCTTACCCATCCTGGCTAATAGCCATTAATGGACTTAACCTCCATGAGTTTATCTAATTCTCTTTTAAACCCTGTTATAGTCCTAGCCTTCACAACCTCTTCAGGCAAGGAGTTCCACAGGTTGACTGCGCGCTGTGTGAAGAACTTCCTTTTATTTGTTTTAATCCTGCTGCCCATTAATTTCATTTGGTGGCCCCTAGTTCTCATATTATGGGAACAAGTAAATAACTTTTCCTTATTCACTTTTTCCACACCACTCATGATTTTATATACCTTTTTCATATCCCCTCCAGTCTCCTCTTTTCCAAGCTGAAAAGTCCTAGCCTCTTTAATCTCTCCTCGTATGGGACCCGTTCCAAATCCCTAATCATTTTAGTTGCCCTTCTCTGAACCTTTTCTAATGCCAGTATATCTTTTTTGAGATGAGGAGACCACATCTGTAAGAAGTTGGCCCTACCATGCATTTATATAAGGGCAATAAGATATTCTCCGTCTTATTCTCTATCCCTTTTTTAATGATTCCTAACATCCTGTTTGCTTTTTTGACTGCCGCTGCACACTGCGTGGATGTCTTCAGAGAACTATCCACGATGACTCCAAGATCTCTTTCCTGATTAGTTGTAGCTAAATTAGCCCCCATCATATTGTATGTATAGTTGGGGTTATTTTTTCCAATGTGCATTACTTTACATTTATCCACATTAAATTTCATTTGCCATTTTGTTGCCCAATCACTTAGTTTTGTGAGATCTTTTTGAAGTTCTTCACAGTCTGCTTTGGTCTTAACTATCTTGAGCAGTTTAGTGTCATCTGCAAACTTTGCCACCTCACTGTTAACCCCTTTCTCCAGTCTTTTATTTTAGAGCTCCTAGAAGGTGCTGGATTGATAGCACTGGAAAACTAAATCTTGTGTTTAGCCATGGAGCAGGTACAGCAGCGTCCTTGGCAGTGCAAGCTTTCCCGCGCCACCTCTAGGGAGAACCTCATTCAGGGAAGGTCTGTACCACTGCTTAAGTTGATGTAACTTAAGTCGCTCAGGGATGTGAAAAAGCCACCCCCTGAGCGACGCAAGTTACATTGACCTAAGCACCATCCAAACCGCTCTCCCGCCAGCATAGCTTCCGCCTCTCACGGAGGTCGAGTAATTATGCCGACAGGAGAGCACTCTCCGATCGGCATAGCGCATTTTCACCAAACGCGCTACAGCAGCACAGTGTCCTCAGTGTTCAGTCCTTGGCTCCTATGCAGAGTCTCCTAACACAGGATCAGATGTCCCCCTCCCATAGACTAACCCATAATAGGAGGCTAGGCTGCTGGCAAAGTTTCCTGCAGATCGTCCCCTTGAGAAGCCACAGAGTTTGGGGGGCTGAGTCCTCTCCAACCCACGTATCTTGGTGTTACAGTAAAGGGTGGCCCAGATCAGCAGGGGCCTAGGTGGCTGACCCCTCCATTCTGTGCAATTGCACTTAGTCCCTCCTGGCAGCATAGCTTCTGCGTGACCTTGGCATGCCATTGGCTGGGTTCCCCTGCAGCTGCTACTGAGCAGCTGCAGTCCAGACCCAAATGGAGTTAATACAGTTCCAAGCCACTTTAAGGATGTCTGAGGATAATCTGGAAGGCTGTTTAAGTGGGACAATAGGCCACCCACTGGGCTGCCCAATTACACAGCTTCTGCCGTACTATATTATTTAGTTAGTTATTAATCACTGTTTGGTGCTGTGTATGTCACAAAAGGAAGACAGTTCCTGAGTCTGAAGAGCTTACAGTATAAAAGACAGGAACAACAAAAATTGGATGCCTAGGTAGTATATCAGAGACATATGACATTGATGATTCAAATTGCACTGCCATTGTGCTGTGAGGGACACATTAAATTGACGTCAGTGTTGCTGTTTTTATAGTATGATTTGCAAGCTTTCCCCAAATTCTGTGCAGCTTTCCTGACAAGTGTTTTGGTACATCCATAAATATTTTTAAAAGCCCAACCCTCCTGAGCTAAACTCTGGATTGTTTATTTGGCATGGATTTTACTGTCTTTCCTTCAAGCTCAGATGTCATGTTTTGTTAAAGTTCTAAATATACAGCCCTCTCCCATGACTTGAGGCAGTGACGTGAAAGTGTAGGTAGCATCTCAGTGGCCTCTCTTTCTTTGACCAGAACATCAGTGACAGTCTTTTTGCCATCAGAGCCTTTTGTTTCTGTGAGGGTTTGTCTATCATTCACGTAACAGATATAAGCAGACGGGGAAAGCTGTCTGCTGCCATTGGCACATCAACAGCGTGTGAGAAGTTCAAACAGACTGGATTTAATTTCAGATGCCGGTAACAGGAAAGCTAATAAATCTGATCATTGGTCCTCTAATTTCACCAGCAGAATCTTTTCACAATATTGGAAGAACCCCAGAAAGCATGCCATTATTTTATAGATGGCTAAATCTAAAAGCAGGGGTTGAGTTCCTGGTTCCTATTAGAAGATAGTTCTGTGTTTTGATGGAGTGGGTTCAGAAAGCAGTCATGATAATACTGTAACTTTCTGTCTGCAATCCAGCTAAGTAATGAGATCAACTCTTCCGCTTCAGTACTGAAATAATCCTTGCGTTCTGATAGGGTCAGTGAAAAACAAATTGCTTTTGTTTTCATTGTTTGTTTGACCAAATGATTTCAGTATCTTTCCACAAGGGAGCTGGAGGCCTCTTTTAAAATATTGAGACAAATTGTGCCTTTGGTTAGACCTGAGCAACGCCATAGAATTCAATGGGGTACCTGAATATAAATGAGGGCAAAATTTAAGCCATTGTCTGTAGGATCCTACTTCCCCTTCTCCCATGAATAATTATTTGCTCATTTGTTCTTCAAGTGCATATCACATTGTACTAATGGCAAGGAGAGACTTTGCCCCTTGAATCTGGAATGTTTCCTCTTTCTACTCCATTTTCTCCTCTTCATCAGTTACAGATAGGCGATGAACATAGGGCTCCTTTTTAAACTATTTAGAAAGCTGCTGGCGAAATCACCTCTTTAGGTGTGTGGAGACACAAAGCTTACACTGTCCCTCGGCTTTTCAGCAGATACCTCTCCAGTGCCCATTCTCATGCTGACTTCTGGAGTTAAAGATTGATGACCTGATTGAGGTGCTGAGCAATTTCAGAGAGAATTGCAGATTCTCAGTAGCACTGAATATCAGGTCAGGAAATCACCTCTAAAAACTTGAGTCTATCAGTTAGCTACCTGGTACAGCCACACAGAGAGATGAGCTGATTTTGCAGTAGTGTATTGGCTTGTTCCATTTTGAAGTGACAATAACAGCATAGCAACTTTATTTAGATAGGCTCTAAGTGCTAGGCTAGTGAGTATAAGTGGGGCATGGTGACAGCTCCTCCTCCTCCCTCAATTTTCCCAAGAAAGGACTGACCGGGTATAGGTGCTTAACTCCAGGACAGGGTTCACAGCTGTGAATCCCAAGCAGAGGGAGGCACCTCCTTTTACGTGCCGAACATCCTTTGAGGGACAGGGCTTCCTGACATTTCCTATTGGCTAGGTTAGGTGGCTCCCCACTCAGCGTACTGGCTGTTGTGAATCCCATTCTTAAGCAACTATCTGTCCCCATGCAGTGTATAGGGAGCCTGGGTGCCTAACTCAGGACTGAGGATTCTCCTAGGTGGCAGGATGCCTAGAAGTTAGGCTTTGTAATTCTGACTCTAAGTCCCCTTTGTGGATCTAACCCTAAATGCCTAAAGTGAGGAATCAAATCTTAAATGCACTTTTTGTGGTTCTGATAAATCCTTTGGGATCTCATAACATTTGTTAGGGGTTTTAGAATGATAACATTATACACACAGTGGGCAAGTCACATTTTCACTTTGTGCCTCATTTAAGCCAGCTATAAAATGGGTTTAATGATCTTTATAGCCTTTATAAAGTGCTTTGTGATGTGTGGATGAAGAGCTAGGCATTAGGTAGTGACAGCGGTGACATGCCCTTCTGATGCACAAGTCTGTAGCATGGAACAAAATGAAGTGTAGTGAATCCTGCTGTGTAAAGTTACAACCCCACAAGCAGATGAGAGGATAACTTTTGAAATCATGAGAAGTCATGCCCTTGAATTAGTGGGATGCTAATCTTTGGATTTTGCTTTATCTCTAGACGACTGAACACATTGAACAAGTGTGCCTCAATGAAACTCGATGTGAACTTCCAAAGGAAAAAGGCAAGTATCTTTGTCCTTACCATTGTAATGAGAGCTCCTGCAATCAGGCCCCAAATCAGGAAAGCACTTAAGTTTAAGTTAAGCGTGTTTAACTCTAAGCATGTATTTAAGTGCTATCCTGAATAGGGATGGTTTCCTGATCAGGGCCTTTAAATGTGAAATAAAGATAAATAGCTGTGAATAGTACAGCAGGGTCAGTGTTAAAAGACTTACATAGACACATGCAGTAATTTAAATGTTATATATGTTCAGTTCCAGTCAAGGGGAAAAGGGTATCATGCCTTGGTATTATAGTGTATTGTCACATTTCCCCATGCCATGTGATCACATAATGGAAAATCCTTCCAGGAAAAAATGGAAGCTTCTGTATAAACAATAGCTTTCCTTCTTTCTCGTGTTGACTTACTACCAGTTAACAATATGAAAATAAACCATGCCGTACTTACAACCTCCTTGTATAACACAGGCAATATTTAAGGCTTAAAGGGTTTCAATAAGGAATGCAGAAAATGTTTATTGATTTAAAGAAATTGTAATGGATCCAGCATAACAGTTGAGCTTTTTAGTTTACTCGTGACATTGGCCCAAGGGCACTTTATAAGCAACACCATCTAATGGAAATCATTGGTTCTGAGATGTTGCTATATACTGTATCACTTTTTCCCTCAGAGTGTTTGTCTAACACTTTTGAAAACTGCCCATAGGAGGTGCTCCTCTTGATACCACTGGCAGTTTAATCTATTTCTATCCTGCTGTCTATGTAAAGGAATTCAGACAGAAGGTGTCCAGACATTTTCTTACCTTCTATTCATGCCAGATTGTTCTTGTGTGCGATAGTCATCAAACAGTCTGTCCAGCATCCTTTCTGGCCATTCTCTTCCAAATTGTGTATACGCCAGTGAGGTCCCATCCTTTTTTCCAACTTCAGACTTGCGGGGGTTTTCCTGCCTTTGATAAGTGCATGTAACCTTCATGTTAAATCCCTGTTCTGGCCTCTCAAGAACAGAGTGCCAATCCACCAAACCATGTGGCGGCTTTATGATGTGAACAATTGTGTGCTATAGGAAGAGACTCAGCTCATCCAAATTCATTTCAGTGTTGAAATATACACCCAAGTCTCATTGGTGAAAGCCTAATGCACTAAGCCCACTGCACCATTTAGCTGCTTTAGGTGGTTTCATTTTTCTTATTTTTATCAAAGACATTGCGGCTTAAACAAGAGAGGGAATAGAAAAAGCAAAACATGGATGAACATTGGCTATGCTATTTAAAAATTGTTGAAATGTTACTTCCTGCCCTTCTTCCCTGCATCCATTCCAGATCAGCAAAAGGGAAAGTGGAGATTGACAATTTAGGGTTCTATTCACAGTGTAGGGTTTTCTGCACCATCAAAATCTGTGTAGATGCAGTTCATGGCTGTGCCAAACCTGCCAGTTTCAGTGCAGATGCCTTCTGTCCTCATTTTTTGGTAAACTTAAAATCCCCACCTTTCTCCTCTCATCCTAAAACATTCAAGGAATGGCCAACTGACCCCTATCACTTCTTGACAACTGGCCCTTCTCCTTCCCCACCCCCACAACCTTGCCTCTTCAGAGGCAGAGACCCCCACTCATGTGATATTATTGCAAACCTCATGATTTTAGGTGGGTGGTTTGGGGGGTGGCCTTTTTTTTAAAGCTGCTCTTTACGTCAGGAAGAGACAAGGATTTTCTCACTATCTTTGCTGTTACTAAAGATAGCCACCATCCCCCATTGTTCTGAATAGAACTGAACTCACAGGCTTCCCTTATGTAGCATGGCCACTATTTCCCTACAGCCTTGACAAGTGGAAGTGCCCTAGTAAATTTAGCCGCCATTTCAGCGCAACAGAAGCTGGACAACCAACGCTCAGTGTAAACTCTTGCCCCCATAGGTGTATGAGGCAAGAGAGGATGAGGGAACAGGAGAATGTGCAGGGGCAGGAATGAGAGTTGGGCCAGCAGGCATGGAGGATGACTGGAGCAGAGGAAATTGTGGGGGCAAAGAAATGTGAGGGGTGGGGAGGAGGACTAGGAATCAAAGAAATATTGGGGTCTGGGTGGGAGACTGGGGACAGGGAGACTGGACAGTAAAAGAATGCATGGAAGAGCTTGCAATTGTGTCTCCACTCAACAACGATAGATCTGGGAAATGTTCCTGTGGTCTAAATGCTGTCTGTACAAATAGACTTTACGATAAGCTGTCTTACTGGAACACAAAAGTAGCCTACTATTACCTGGTTCAGAGGTTCAACATGAATGTTTTGCACAGTTCTAGTCTGCACCTGCTTGACTGATTCATGAAAACACAGCTAAGCAAGCTGCCAAACAGCATTATCGGGAAGGCTAATCTGGGTGAAAGCCTGTTCCACTCACTCTCCCCACCTCCACCTACCCAACCACACATCACTCGAAGAGATACATTTGCCATGTGGGGGATTTAGTCATTCTGTTTCCATTAACTTCAATGAGATTTGCACAGCTAAATCTTCATATATTGTGCTGAAAATATTCCCTTAAGTGATTTGGACAGACAAAAATTAGCCTTTGGATTAGCTGCCTTCTGCAGCTGTGGATTCATGTGGATTCCCGCCCTAGCTAGAAAAATTTGGCAAAATTCCATTCAAAATAAACTGGCTCTATTGCATTTTGTTGGTGTCTATCTCGGGTTTGAGGAAAATGTGCCCTTAATCAGGGTTTTTCTATTTTTAACCAATTTGAATTAATTATGCATCAAAAGCTCTCCCTGAGTCTCTGGCAAACGCTGCCAGTCACTCTTAATGAAACCTGCCCCTCCTCTCCTTCCCATGCATAATGATATTAGAGGGCTCCCTACACATGCCTGTTGGAGTCCTCGGGCTCTTTGTTACTGTTTACATAGAGAGATGCTGAGAGGTGGGAACGGAAGTTGGGTGAGAGGAGGAAGATCATTGGATCAGAAGCAATGTTCTGAGGCCTTGAGAAGACCTGTTTGAGTCAGCAGTGGGGATCACACTCAATAGATGCTGAGCCACAGATGGCTCCAGAGGGTATAAAATAATACTTTTCAAAAATCTTGCAAAACAAGGCAAGAATGTAAAAGTGACATTTACCCGCCCCCTTTCTAGGCTCCTTGGACATCACTAGTATATTGCATGATGGGGTACCACAGCAGAATGGAAGCTGAGAATCCAAGTGGATGTTATAGAACAAAAGAAGGAAAATATGTGAGAATGCCCGGAATGCCCCTCTGTCCCGACACTGGGGCAATTCCACATATATTGCTGAAGTTGGTGGGATGGTGACAGTTAACTTTGAAGGGAGACATTCTTTCCTATTCCCCATTGTAAACAACAATGAGAAATCTTATTTGGAAAAGTCCATGACATGCGGTAAGCTTTTAGTAAGGCAGGATGCTACAGTATTTCAAACTGATTTCTTTTTAAATTATACACTTGAGGCAGGGGGAATAGATCCAGAGCCTTTCATTGCAAAATTGCAGTATTTGAATTCACCCTAGGTCAGTAGAGATTGTTGAACTCAAATCTGTTCTTAGTGGGCAAATATAAATATCATCATATCATCGTAACTGGCAGTAATTGCCATCTTCGTTGGGAGACTCATCATTACATTTTGGAGGATTATCTCTATTTTATCATGGCAATCTGATATCTAACAAGAGCACTAGGGGATTCAGGCTGTTCATGGGTTCCAACATCCCTTTTGGAGCCTTCCAAATATTATCGCAGAGAATGTCTTTTTGATACAGTGTGAGGGGGTTTGGCACAACAACTGCCAAACAACTCATGTGACTGCGGTGATGCACCATCTTCCCCTCAGCAGGTGCATAGTGGGAGATGTAATCCAACCATGGAGCCCAGTCTATAGGAGGGAATGACAGTATCAGGCACCTCTCATGAGGAACCAAGGTGACATTACAGAATCAAAATTTTTGTGTTTTTGATTTTTCAAGGAAAGCTGACAATTTTCCATGGAAAATTTCAACACGACAAAACTTTTTCTCATTTTCACTGCAAAGTTCTGGGGGGGGGGCGAAGGGGGGCGGAATCCATTTTCCAATCAGCTCTAGTCAGCAAGTAATCCTGGCTCTGTTGTGCTGGGATGTAGAACTCATTCCCCACCACTGTTCATGTTCATCTCTAGCCACTGTTTAAAAGTATCTTTAAGCCTTTTGTCCTCCAAAGGATATTTTAAGTAGAAACACGGTTGGCTTCATATTTACTGCCCTTTCCCGTCACACTCCCCCTCTCCCTGAATTTTCTTGCGCATTGTTTCCACCACTTTAGCTTTATTTCTTTGGGTTTTAAGACAAAGGGACTAGATCCTCATCTGGTGTAAATTGTCATAGCTCCAATTATTTCAATGGAGTTCTCACAATTTATACCAGCTGAGGATCTGCCCCAATGTCTTGTATTATGTTTGCAGTGTAGCTTACCATTTATTGTTGTGTGGTACAGGCCCTCAGCACCTAGGCAGTGGACTGCGTTATAATGGCAGATGAAATTCAATGTTGATAAATGCAAAGTAATGCACATTGGAAAACATAATCCCAACTATACATATAAAATGATGGGGTCTAAATTAGCGGTTACCACTCAAGAAAGAGATCTTGGAGTCATTGTGGATAGTTCTCTGAAAACATCCACTCAATGCACAGCGGCAGTCAAAAAAGCAAACAGAATGTTGGGAATCATTAAGAAAGGGATAGGTAATAAGACAGAAAATATCCTATTGCCTTTTTATAAATCCATGGTATGCCCATATCTTGAATACTGCATGCAGATGTGGTCGCCCCATCTCAAAAAAGATCTATTGGAATTGGGAAAGGTTCAGAAAAGGGCAACAAAAATGATTAGGAGTATGGAACGGCTTCCATATGAGGAGAGATTAATAAGATTGGGACTTTTCAGCTTGGAAAAGAGACAACTAAGGGGGGATATGATATGATAGAGGTCTATAAAATCATGACTGGTGTGGAGAAAGTAAATAAGGAAGTGTTATTTACTCCTTCTCGTAACACAAGAACTAGGGGTCACCAATTGAAATTAATAGGCAGCAGGTTTAAAACAAACAAAAGGAAGTATTTCTTCACACAACGCAGTCAATCCATGGAAAACTCTTTGCCAGAGGATGTTGTGAAGGTCAAGACTATAAGAGGGTTCAGAAAAGAACTAGATAAATTCATGAAGGATAGGTCCATGAATGGCTATTAGCCAGGATGGGCAGGGATGGTGTCTCTAGCCTCTGTTTGCCAGAAGCTAGTGTAACCCGTACGCCTCCTGGGTGTGGTGTTCTGTCCCCTCTAGTGGCACCGAGACCACTTAGAGATTAATGAGTCTGCTATAGCCTTAGCTAAGAGGCATATGGCTTTTAGCTCATGCAGTAGAGGCTCATGCATTTAGCTCCAGAGGTCCCAGGTTCAATGCCGACGACCGGGGTCTGTCTGCTACACTGGGAATAGGCGACAGTGGATGGATCACTTGATGATTACCTGTTCTGTTCATTCCTACTGGGGCACCTGGCATTGGCCACTGTTGGAAGTCAGGATACTAGACTGGATGGACCTTTGGTCTGACCCAGTATGGCTGTTCTTATAAAATAATGGTTAAAATATTTAAAAATTCTACCCTAATTTTTTTTTAAATATTCCTATTGTGACACTAGTAAGACCATAACAGGCTGATTTTATAAGTGCCTCACTTGTTTTCAGTCCTCCTGCCCATGAATTCCCCCTTCAATAACAAGCTGTCACACAGAACCAGAAGGCATAGCTGTCAAACAGTCCATCCCTTTCCCTGCAGAAAAGATTACCAAAGGAGGACCAGCTGTCTCTAGGTCTTTTTCTGCTGCTGCTCTAGCTACTGAATTGTTTGCTGCCCCTAGCTGCAGTAACTGAGGTTACTCCTGTGAACTCGGGTCGGCTGTAGAAGAAATGTGTGCTACTCGTTATTCATAATGCAGAAATGAATCAAAACAGCTTTTCTAGTTCAGCAGCTTTATTTTATTTTACAGTTTGGACAAGATCTAAAATTGATGTGTCAAGCTTTAAGTGATGACCTAGCAAAAGCTTACAACGACAATATGGCTTTAGGGTGATCTGCCACTTACTGATTACATCACAATGTACATCTTTCAAACTTCCGTTTTATTTAAGATTATTTTACAAATTATTTTATATTTTCCAATAAGATTAAGCAGCCAGGTTCTAGACTGGTGGGAGATAATACAACTTTACCATCAGAACGGTGTATAAAAATACTGCTAAGAATAGATTTTTAAAATGAGAATTTTCCAGTCCCAAAATAGTCTTTTTAGTTTACGCCTTGTTTTAGTCTGACAGCCTGTCATATTTTACTGCCTTACTGCTGCTTTCAGGAATGAGGGAGGATAAGACGACTGTTTCGATGTCATATAGGTGAAGTTAGTTTGTTCTACTTTAAAACAACTGTACAGGAATAGCTTGGTACGGGACTGGTTCAAAGTCAATGGAAAGACTCTAATTGACTTCAGTGGGCTTCGGATCAGCTCGTTAGTGAGTAGTGAGCTAAACAAAAACTGCATGGCGCAAGCTGACAATTTATCAGTTTTGTCTGGGACAACTGAGTAGCAGAATCTCATATTGGCCTTTGGATCTTTTTATTTTAATGATTTTTTTATTTTATTTCACTCAATTACTACATTGTTACCATAGCTTATGGCGCTTGGTATTTTATCTCTAAATGTTTATATTTGTCTGGGGGGGTATGTGTGTATAAATGAACAAATCTAACTGAAGACTTAATCTTCCTACAGGTTAATTCAGATGATTAACTAGGTTTTCTGGCTGCGATTGCAAATGTCTGTTTACTTCTCACAGCAAAATGAAATATAATGGGGGATAGTTTGCTTGAGTTGCCCCATTACTGTAGCATCTCATAACCTCATAATCTTTAATGTATTTATCCATCCAACACTGCTGTGAGAAAGGGAAAGTTAGGTGTCTGCCATTTGTGCCCTTGAAAATCTGCCCCGCCTCCTCCCCCCCCCCCCCCCCAATATTCTTAAAGAACTGCTTAGGCTACAATCCTGCATTGAGCAGCATGCAGGCAGATTGCTTGTGCCTGCTCAAAGCCCTGCTGAAGTTAACAGGCCCTGCATGGGCACATAGTCTACTCGTGAGCTCCACAAGGCAGGAACGGGGCCTTATTCCTTCTATGGTAGCATGTTAATTGCAGAGTCTTTGGTCTGGAATGAGAAAGGCTGCAGTAAAAGAGCTGATATCCATTATGCTAAGAACAGACTAGTCTTCTAGAGTCACGTTGCCATCTGTAGCTTTCACTGTCTGAGCAGAGGGTTCATGTTTGTTACAATGTAATCAGAAAAAGAAAGAAAAGTTCTCTGTTGAACAAAGTGTAACATGCTGTTTTCCAGAGTGAAGACTCAGATGAAGAAGACTTCTGTGCCATCAGTAATAAATGGACTTTCCAAAGGACGAGCAGAAGATGGTCTCGGGTGGACGACATTGACACTTTGCTTCACCGATCAGATAGACATGGGTCTTCAGGGGACATTAAAATGAAAAACACCCCTAGCAGTGAAAGTGTCCTTACTGATCTGAGTGAGCCTGAAGTCTCGTCTATTCACAGCGAGAGCAGTGGAGGAAGTGACAGTCGGCATCAGTCTGGTATCAACAGCACTATCAGGGAGATATGTGACTGCTCGGGACAGCATAGTATAGAAAACACACTTACACGTTACACCACTCCTGTCAGCTGTACTCTCTCCCAGGTTCCAAAGGAGACCACAAATTACTCCTGTAACCTTAAGAATGAGAAACCAACACGAACGAGAGCCAAGACCTTTCTAAAGCGCATGGAGACGCTAAAGCCTAGGGGTGCACACGGAAAACTAAAGGGCTTGGGAAGGCCTGGTGTCTTAGAGATAAGCGGACCTGTTCTTCAACATGAGCCAAAATCCTTAAAGGACATGCACTGCATGCAGATAGTGAATGGAGATGCAGCCAAAAGAGGACTTTCCTTTTCTGCCAAATCCAGCAGTGACAGTAGTCAGTCAGAAAACAGCAGCAGTGGCATGAGCACACCATGTTTTAAGGAACGCAAGTGTTATGAAACAAACAAGCGAGGTGGTATGTACCTGGAGGACCTGGACGTTCTTGCTGGAACAGCCCTGAGACAAGTGGTAGACGAAAACCGTAAAAATGAATTTCACTCCCAAGAGAACCTGGTTGTGCATATTCCCAAGGACCACAAACCTGGAACTTTTCCAAAGGCACTTTCCATTGAAAGTCTCTCACCGACTGACAACAGTAATAGTGTAAACTGGAGGACAGGCAGCATCTCTTTGGGCAAACAGAAGTGCTCTACTCCTAAAGAGCCCAGACTCATGGCTTGCTGTCCTAAAGAGAGTAGGGTTAGTATTTATGACAACGTGCCAGGTTCCCACTTGTACGCCAGCACTGGAGACCTTTTGGACTTGGAAAAAGATGACCTTTTCCCTCATTTAGATGACATTTTGCAGCATGTCAATGGACTTAAAGAGGTTGTAAACCACTGGTCAAAGGATTTACAGCCAGAGCTGCAAAGCAATGATTTATTGGTTGGGGAATCTGCATCGTTGCCATTCCAGTTGCCCACCCAAATCACATTAGACTTTGAAGGGAACTCTGTTTCTGATGGTCGTACTACACCCAGTGATATGGACAGAGATGGAACATCCCTCAATGAATCAGAAACCACTGGTATTAGGGACAGGAGAGACTCTGGTGTAGGGGCATCTCTCACCAGGCCAAACAGGTTGGTAGCATAATTCCTTAAATAACTCCTTCTATTTTTCATTATTAATGGGGTAGGTTGTGAAAAATGATATAATAAAGCAGGGGCACATTATCTGAGCATTGTGAACAGTTGTCAAAGGGTCATGATCACCCTGCCTTGCCCATATTGCTAAATTGGGAGGGGGGACCCAGCTAGATGGAATGGCGACTTCTAGGAGAAGAGGGCCCTGGTATGAAAAAGGTGTGGAGTCATCGTAATAGAGCAAACTACAGTGCATGCTTTCTTCCACAAAGTATTTTAGTTAAAAAACATGGTGTCATATTCACAATGGGATGTATATTCAAACTGGCCTCTAAAATGTGCCCATCAGTTTGTGCAAACAGGCAGGCACCAAATTTTCATGCACAAGATTAGAGTCTGCTTTGAAAAAGTGGCCCTGTGCTGTTATGTAAAATTTACAATGTTTCCCCAAAGCCCCCCCATAGTTGGTTAACACCCAGTGTATTTGTTAATGGAAATGTTAGGTTGGAACTCCCTAAGTGACACCGAGTGTTTGGAAACCCATTCTGCATTATTAATGAATTTTGTGAATTTGAGAGAAGAGGCTCCGTTGTGCCCTGAAGACACAGGCCTGAATAAGGGACTTTGTGAAGCTGCACTGCCGGGGTGGGGGTGTCCGAATGTGCAATGGGAGTGTGGCTGCCAGGCATGGTGCTGTGCACTCTCCGCTCCGCGGCCAACTGCTTCCATGTGCTCACCCACAAAGGTTCCATTGTTTTTATTTTGTTTTCAACAATTAACATGAGAAATCTTTGAAATCTCCTGTTTGTTCTTTACAGCCCTGAACACCACACAAAAAATCAAGCTTTGAGATACTTGAGTTTTATTTATACCCAAACAGCACCCTCTCACACCTACCTTTGCTTTCATTTCTGTATGGTTCTCTTAGCACTGAAAACTCACTCAAGTGACACTGTACATGGCCCATGAAAGCATCATTGGGTTTTGTTAAAGATGGCTTCAGTTAGGCAGCCTTTGTCCAACCCACAAAGCAGGGGATACAGTTACTAACTAAAACATATCATGTGGGAGAGGCTCCAGGAGGCAGGAAAGTGAATTTAAAAGAAAAGATACCCACACACTCCCTATAGACTATGGAATGTATACCTGGGAACTGCTCACAAACGGAAAGAAACTTGGCGCTTTGACTATTCTGAGGGACTCTTATGCTATCACTTAAATCCGTCATTTGAATTACTCTGGATTTACGCTGCTGTAGCCAAGAGCAGAATTTGGCCCTATGTATTTTGATCTATGGGTAAAAATGCACACAGATCCAGATGTGCATTCAAAGGGCTTAAACTGCAATTACTTACAACCAGCCATATTGCTTACTACTGTGTTGAATTCCACAGAAATCAAGGAGACTACTCATATATTAAGCGCATGCCTAAATGTTTGCAGAATTTGGGCCAAAGTTCATACCTTGAAGAAGAAATGCAAAGGAAATGCAAATGTTATCTTCAATAGTCAGTATATAAAATGAGTCAGTATATAAAGAAAGTATCTTGGGTTAGATTCAAAGCTCGTTAAAATCAATTGGATTCTTTCCATTAACTTCAGTGGGCCTTCGATCAGGCTTCCTAGAGCCTCACAGAAGCAAGGCACTGCATTCTCTGTCCCCAAGAACAGTCCTTTTCACAAGAAATCACTGATTTAACATTGACAAATACTGTATATCATCACATTTTTCCTAATTGTGGCACCGTATAATCTCATTTTCCTTTTCTCCTTTCTTTTGCTGAAGGCGATTACGCTGGCATAGCTTCCAGATCTCTCATGGCCCGAGCCACTCCACAGCATCACTACAGCTCAGTAATCAATCAGCAGCTCAACTGAATCTACTGCAAAAATTTTCCTTACTTCGCCTTACGGCCATCATGGAAAAATACTGCATGTCAAACAAACATGGCTGGACATGGTAAGTGCATTATGTGTCTCACAAAACAGATATATTTAGAAGGAAATTGTTTCTCCCAATTATATTATTATCATTCCACTAACTTAGCCCCTTTCATCTGAGAATCAGAAAGTGCATTTTAGTCCGTAGTTATATAGTGAGTCAGTGGCAAAGCCAGAAATAGAACCCAAGAGGTCTGATCCACCTCCCTGCTCTAGCCACTAGACAACCCACCCTCTCTCTAATAGCAGCCAAGTACCAGAAAAATAAACAAGAAGAGTAGGAGTGAATAATTACAAAGAGGAAATTTTAAAATAAGGTTCTCTAAAACTAAAGTTATGGTTTGAAAGGAGCAGCTGTTGGTCGTACATCAAGTATACAAGTTTGTTTTATTGTTGTTTTTTATATTAAAAAGGAGTGATTAGCAGTGGGTAGGTGGAAGTCATCTAGAAAATATTATTCTCCCGTATATGCAGAAACATTAGTCCAATAATGATAATAATAATACTTCACAGTGAGACGGTGCTTTGCACCTTCAAAGCATTTTACAAACATTGACTAATCCTCACAAACTCCCTCTCTGAGCTTGGCAAAATAATTAAGGTATCTCCAAAGGTACACACATGGAGAAAGAGAGATGAGAGGTGAGGAGCTAGAGTCACAAAAGGACTTACCTCCCACGTTAGGTGCCCAACACCAAAATGTCGGCACCACTGGCATTCACAAAACCCCTGCTCAACTGCTGGCTAACCCTGGAGGAGCCTAAAGGTCATTGGCATCTCAATTTCCACCATTAAAAGTCTCCTAGCTGCCTAAGTTTCTGGTTCTGGGCATGCACACAGCTGCCTTAGTCTAGATGCCACGGTGCCTAAATCCTAGTGGGATGCTGCAACTAGGCATTTCTTGGCCTAGCTCAGCTGTGGGGCCCAATCCAGTAGCTGTTCTCAAGGTCTGTCTAATGTCACACAAAACAGACAGCACGAGGCAGGGAGGCGGCAGCCTCTTTTATAAAATGTATCCCACTGGTCAGGGAACTCAGCTGAGATGTGGGAGACCCTGTTTCTATTCCCCCCTCTGCATGATGGGGAGAAGAGAGGTGCACTTGGTTCTCCTGCCTGTCCGGTAAGTGTGCTAGCCAGTGGGCTCTGGGGGATCCTGATGTAGGGCTCTTTCTCAATCTCTCCTGTTGAAGCTGTTCCACTGTGTACAAATACATAAATATTCAGTGGGCCAGTGGGTGAGTGAATGATTCTGTAGTCCAATGGTTAGGGCATCCACTGAGAGGTGAAAAACCCCTGTTCAAATCTCATTCCCTCAGGCAGAGGGAGGAGTCTCCCACATCCCAGCTGAGTGCCCTAATGGGTTAAAGGTTAAGGGCTCTTCCTCCAGCCATTTTATGGCGAGTTAGGCATCTTTCTTGAAAGAACCCTCCAGGAGAGGGTTTATGGCTGTTGATCCCAAGCAAAGATAGCTCCCTCCCTCCAGCCCAGAGTTAGACACTAACTCTCTGAGAGGCATGGGGTTTAGGACATACCCCTCTGGTCAGCACATGCTATTGGTTGGTTTAGGGAACTCCCTGTTGAGCGTGCTGGCTTTTGCGAATCCCGTTCTTAGGATCCTAACTCTCCCCATGCCTTGTATAAGGAGCCGTGACACCTAACTCAGCTGTGAATTCCACAAGGTGGCAGGGTACCTAAAAGTTAGGCACTGAAACGCTTGGCATTGCAACGACTAATTCTCCTTTGGGAATCTAGCCCTAAGGGACTTACTTAGGGCCACAGAAGGAGACTCGGTGTCAGAGCTGTGATTAGAACTCGGCAGTTTCCGGAACTTGCTGATTTGCGCAAAGTAGCTCTCTCTCCTGACAAATATTTTCAGTGATCACATAGTTGATCTGTAAGGCCCAGATCCACAAAGATACTCAGCTGTTTAAAACCCAGACTTAGGCACCTAAGTCCCATTTTTAGGCCCCGGTGCAATTCACAAAAATCCTGCTCAGCTGCTGCTTAACCCGGTAGATGCGTAAACTTACTCAGTGCCTAAATTTTTGCTGCAAAGGCTCCCTAGAATGCTAAGTTTCTGCTTCAGAGCATGCATGTTGCTACCTCACTCTAGGCACCGTATACCTGTCTCCCAGCCTCAGAGCAATCCACAAAGATATGGCAAGGAGCGTCTATCTCACTCATGGAGCCCAATGCAGTAGAGGCCATCTACTGGATCAGCTCCCATTCCAAATCTGTCTGGAGGAGGATGAGAATGTGGTGCTGGTAGCACGCACCTTATAATCTTTAGCCCAGTGGTTAAAGCACTCACCCAGGTTCAATTCCCACCTCTTCCTAACAGGGAGAAAAGATTTGAGCAGGGGTCTCCCACATCCCAGAAGTGCTCTAATCACTTGGCACCTCCTCCTCCAGCCATTTTGCGTGAAGTTAGGCACCTGCCTCGCTCATTTTCACAAGGAATGACTTAGGTGCCTAAGCCTCCTGACTCCAGGAGAAGCATTCCTGGCTATCACAAGCAGAGATAGAGTCTCCCTGCAACCCAGAGTTAGGCATCTATCTATGGAGAAGGGGGCTTAAAACACACCCCTGTGGTTGGCATCAAGGTGGCACCCCACCTAACATGCTGGCTTTTGTGGATTGCATTGTTAGGCACTTCTCTCTCCCCATTCATTGCATAGGGAGCCCAGGCACCTACCTTAGGCTTTGTGGATCTCATTGGTGTTCGTGTGATTTTCTAGGTAGCTAAAAGTTAGGCGTTGGGTTACTGAGTATCACAACACCTAAGTTCCTTTGTGGATCTGGGCCTAAGTTTTCATGCTCAGCACTATAGACAATTGGAATTACAAGTAGTTGTGGTGTTGTTTTCCATACTCCTCCAGTAGGTCATTTAGATTCAAATGTTAACTCCTTCTCACACAAACTACGAAACCTCCAGCCATGTTCATCCATGTTTTAAAACTGCTGAAGCCAAGATTCCCACAAAAGGGAATCTGGGCTCTTGGTCTCTTTTCCACCATCATTTATGGGAGAAAGAAAGTTCACCAAGTTTAGTTAATCTGCTTGATCAGAAATCAATTGAGTTACATCAAGGATGCATTTGCCACATAATGGTTTCTCAATGTAATTTATTACTGTAAATTACTGGACAGCAGAAATGCTAAATCACAAAGCTGATATCATAGAAATCATTGGACCCATTAAAGAAATGAACTTGCGCTCTTTTAGATACATCTTCCACTATGTTTTGTCGTGCTGCTCATGCCCATCCGTGCCAGACATTTTGAAGGCAAGCATACAGCCACAGGCAATCTGCTGGTAAAGGCTCTCAAGAAGACCATAAAATGTGTAGACTTTAAAGGATTCATATATCATGTATTAGAAAGGAAACTTTTATTTAGCTGTCTTTATCAAAGAGGCTGCCTTCAGAGTTACTGGCTTCCCTCAGTAATGTTAGACAGTAGGATCATGTAAGTACTCTCACAGTTTAATGCTAACGGTGTGAATTTCAGGTCTGTGCCAAAGTTCATGAAGAGGATGAAAGTTCCCGACTACAAGGACAAGAATGTCTTTGGTGTGCCTTTGATAGTTCATGTCCAGAGGACGGGGCAACCCCTTCCACAGAGCATGCAACAAGCACTGCGCTACTTACGCAGCAATTGTCTAGATCAGGTATGGACTTTACATTCCTCGCTAAATTTCAAAGGGTTTTTAAACCACAGTCTAGTGACTTGCATAGCCCGACTGGCTGGAAAATGTATCAAGCCAGTTGAAATGGTTTTACTGTCTAAACATTTTACTTTGCCAGCTCACATCAACTTCACACCATTCTAGAGCACTATGCAGGTTATGGTAGCACTGGACAATGACTGACATATTACTAACACCCCTTTTGTTGCTGTATTAACTCACTGTGCAAGGGACATAGCTATTATATCTTTATTGTTCCTCCCGCAAAGATAGAGCTCTATGTATATGTATATACATAGCAGGGAGTTGGACTAGATGACCTCCTGAGGTCTCTTCCAACCCTAATCTTCTATGATTCTATGATACATGCTTACAGCATATATTGTGGCCAGAGAGCTCAGACAGCAAGTTGACATTTTGTTCTGCATTGCAACAATGCTTGCCCAGCTTTAACATTGGAGCAGCATGTTTCCCACATGCCCCAAGGCCCACTTCTGAATTTTCCAGAGTTTCTGCTCCTTGCTCTGCTTGTGACATTGTGCTCGCTGCAGGAGTGGATCTGATGCTGTGGGAATGGCCTAATGAGAGTTTCAGCACTGTGGGCAGAAATGGGAAGATAAGTAGGGGCAGGGAGGAAATCATTCCACAACTCGGTGTAGCTAAGTTCTCATTCAGTGCCCATCACCATGGTATCTGGGCTTGTATAGTGAGAGTGAAAGAATTGGGAAGCAGAGAGCAAGGAGGTGAAGCAGGTGGATTAAGTAGTGGAGTTGGGGGGATGGAAATGTGTATAGGAGAGCGAAAAGGAGGATAGATGGAAGGGAAAGGAAAGGGAAACAGAGAACAAAATAGAACAGAGACAATAAGGAGAAATGAGGAGTAATGGAGGAAGAAAGTAGAAAACAAAGAAAAACAAGACAGACACCAGAAAAAGAAAAAGCAACAGAGAGAATCCAGCCAGCCAGGAACAGCATCTCTTGTGACACTGACAAGTCTCTGCTTCAAGAGGCCACTGGAAGGTGTCAGAGCAATAGGAGAAAGCCAGCTCCGCTCTCCTAATGGTAGAATTGAGGAAATATTAAATAAAAGGTAAAGGTAGAGGGAAGGGTTTAACGTCAAAGTGCTTCCAGACTGTGAACATTTAAAAACATATTTGTGCAGAGACTTTCGCCCAAACCAAGATATAGGATTTCAAATGTTCAGTTAATTCAGCTTCTGCACTTGACACCTCCTCTCCTTATCCCATCTAATTCAGAATCAGCTAATGCCTGGCCATTGGCTTCGTTAGAGACCTAAGCAGCTTCCAGCACCTCCCTGTACAATGCATGTAGGGAGCTAGCCTAGAGCCCTGCGCTTCTGGGTCTGCCACTGTACGTACTTAACAGAGTTGCAGTTATTTATATATATATATATATAAATTGTAAAGTATGGCCATGGGCACTTGAGATAGTTATGACTGTTCTGAGATGAAGTAAGGAAATTCAGGCCATTAAGGATTGAAAATGATTATTCACATACAACCCTGACAAAGAGAAGTCCCTGTATCTTTCTTTGTTGGCTGAGCTTTTATTTCTATCCTACATCAACTGTGCACTTGCAGAATAGACTATCCACAGCACACGAAGAAAATAAAGAGAGTGGGATAAATTAATCTCTGGTGTAAATCCATTGGTGTCTGTGTGTTTATGGATCTCTTGTAGTTACAGGATACATCTCTAATACTGTGGAAGAGATCCTGAAACACCTGCTTTTATGAAACCAAGAACTACCCCCTCTTGATGAATTGAGCATTTTTCCAAAGAAAGGGAAATAGGAATAACATCATTACACAATAGTAGAGATTAGCAGTAACTGGATGTCCGGCACCAGGAGATTGTTTTGATGAAATTTGATGTCTGACCTCTGATTCTAGCGTAACTGTGAATTTTTAAAGGTTGTTTATGCCAGCAAGGAGCCTTTGCCCCAAACACAGATGTTTTGCTTCACATTTGTCCAGCACGCTCCAGAGTTTTATACTTTGAACAGAAACAATTGTGGCCATGAGTCTAGTGTATTCAATATACCAGGCTGGGGGAGCATTCAAAAGGGAGAGAAGAAATGATGGACAATCCAGATGAAAAGAGCCAGATGCTTCCTTGTATTTCATTGTCAGATCTAAGGGCAGCTTTACCTCTGAATATAAACATAATCCACCAATGTACACACAATGTAGATTTCAGTTCTGTAATTTCTACATATTACTTTAGATTGCAAACATAACTCACTTATATAACTTGTCCTAGACATAACAGAAAAATCTCAAAGCCGCTATTTGCAATCTGACACTGTATTCCACTAGCAAACTAGTACACAGCATGCACAGAACTACATACAGTTTAATTTACGAAAGCCACATCATCTCTATATTAATCATCAAAACATTTCAGTATATGAGCATTGAACATGGAAGGACTTCAAGAGCATCCATTATTTGTTCAGGATGATGATGGAGCTACATGGGCCTTGGAATGGAGGCTGCAAAGTTGAGCATAGGATGTTGCATGACTGAACTGCATATTTAGTTCCTTTCATGGTTGGAGTTCGTGGGATATGCAGTCCAGTAACCTTGACTCCAAGTTAACAAGACAAATAACTACCTATACACAACAGGCAAAGAGGAAGCAAGCTTTATAATTTAAAGCCCAAAATATGCCCACTTTATTCTTTTTATAGATTTTCTCAGTATTTCACCTCTTCTCCTATAAACTGAAGAAAAACAACAGGAATACTTCCCAAGTGGAACAACAGAAATTCACTTGGGAATAAATATGTGGTTCATGCTCAGGAATTCACCGCAGGGGAATTCCACTTCCGAGAACTACTGTAAAAGGACAGCACTGCTGTGAAGGCACTAACAGCGCTCATTTTAAGAATTACCACTTCCTTCAGAATAGAAAACAAACAAGATAAAAATGTATCTTAGTGTCTCTACACAAATAATCCCTCTGCGGCCTCTGCTTTGCAGGGCCGCTGAGAGCAGGTTCAGGCCCCGGTGAAAAAAAATTTTTGGGCCCCCCAGCAAGGGCGGACTGGCTAAACAGGGCTGATGAGATGGGGGGAAGCTGGGGAAGCCAGGCCCCGGGCCCCCTTTCGGACTGCCGGGCCCCGGTAATTTGTACTGGCTTCCTCCCCCCCTCGTCGGCTCTGCTGCTTTGTAACTACTAGGTTTTTCAGTGGAATTTGAGGAAACTTCGGGGAGCAGAGAACAGGAAGGGGAAAAATAGATTTAGCATCTTGGTGTTAATCCTACCAGGATGTCCCAGTCTCTTGACACATAGTATATTACTTAGCTGAGGATCCTGTTGTCTTGTTAATCTTCAAAATAGATAGACATGATAAGCCAGATTCTCAGCAGGGGTAAATCAGTGTATCTCCATTAAAGTCAACTAGTTATGCCGATTTACGCCAGCTAAGGAACTGGGTCATAATTTTTAGGCAATGTCATACCCACATACCTTCTGACCTTTTGGTGTGCGATTTGGTATAATAGGGAAGAATTATTAGGTGTTATAGTCCTACAGCAAGAGTATGTAGCTGCTTATGATTTCTCTTGTGAACAAGTCTACTGGCATTTCCATTAATGTAAGAATCTTGCAGTTGTTGTTATCTACAATAGTAAAACAAGTAACACAACTTCCTCAGTAAGCAAAGCCTCTTGTAAGAAATACTTGAAAGAAATGGCTGTTTAACCAACCCAACGTGGCTCCTGGTTTAGGTGGGTCTGTTTCGAAAATCAGGAGTGAAGTCCCGAATCCAGGCCCTCCGTCAGATGAATGAGAGCTCCCCTGAGAACGTCAGCTATGAAGACCAATCAGCCTACGACGTGGCAGATATGGTAAAGCAGTTTTTCAGGGACTTGCCAGAACCTCTTCTCACCAGTAAGCTAGGAGAAACCTTCCTCCATATCTATCAACGTAAGTAAAATGGTGGTTATTCTGAATGTTACCGAAGTGTCAACCATGGGCCTGATTCGTTCAACTAACTTCAAAGGGCTCAGGCAAAATATGATTAGTGCTGTACACAGCACAAAATAAAGACAGTCCCTGCTACTAGAGGCTTTGGCTGAGATTTTCAAAGCTACCTAATGGGATTTGGGCATGCAGCTCCCTTAACTGTCATGAAAATTGGGTGTCCAAATCCCACATGCAGCTTTGAAAATCTCACACTTCCAATCAAAAAGAAGCACACAGAGAAGATGAGATGCACAGGGAAAGCCAAAGGAGGAAATAACCTGAAACAGTTTATATTATAATATCATATTTTTAAAAAAAATTATTGACTCACTTCATCTTGGTAAAAGTCTTTTGAATGTGGAGAGGATGGCGGCTTGGCCTTCAAAATGAGAATATTAACATGAAATGAATTTTCATGAGGATATAGCTTTTGAGGGTTTGCATTTTCATTATATCTACTAACATTTATATGTACTCTAGTATCATAGTTTAGATCACAAACTTAAGTCCTGTTAAGAGATCTAATAGGGGAAGAAAAGCTTAAGGGTTTTTTCTTTTAATTTCATTCCTCAGCAATGTCTGAACCTCAAACACATCAGAAAGATGTCAGTGCATGTGAGCCAAAAAGTGAAACTGACAATTCTAGTCTAATTGTCCAAATTAGGGGAGGAGCCAAAAGTAAACAATGGAAATAGTGAAAAGTAAATTAACAACTTAAAATGTTCTGTTGTCGGAATTACAGGCAATACTGATAAGAGAGAAACCATTTTAAAATACCATATGAGCCTAGACTAGTGACCTAATTGTTGACCCATACTTCCTCTTTCTGCTTTCATTCCCAGAAGCTGCAGGGTCACACTGAACTTCAGGCACATTTCATAGCACTTTATAAAAAGCACCTGTAGTTATTTGCACCAATAAAATTGCTCCCATAATTACTTGCATCACCAAAATAGCAGGCTAAGTACAGGATATATCTAATTCCAGGGCCATATTTTATGTTCTCACATGACTCCTTAATAAAAGTATGTGTTCTAGCCATTGTTTGATGAAAACTGGGAATGCTCCTGTGTTAACACAGGAGGGAAGGCCAGCCAACTGTCACATCTAAATGCCCACGTCTCTAAAAAGCACATATGGTTTCAGAGTGTGGAAGCTCATATAAAACTACAAAACCAATTTAAAAAAATCTCCTTTTAGGATGTTGCTAGGCCTTGTAGGAGCTTCTGTTTTGGGGAAGTCAGATGTATTTTATTTATAACTAAAGCTGGCCCCGTAATACTCTAGTACAGCACATAGAGAAAAGATTTAAAGAAGGAAATTGTGATATTCCACTTTATGGATCAGCCTTTTACCATATTCTTTTGGTTAGGAAAATGTCATTTATGAAAATGATAGTAAAGCCTCGATGTACAGTATATATAGGGAATAAATGAATTCCAGGCATAGTAAGGCTAAAGAGATTAAGACTGTACTGCTGGGAGAAGAAGAAATGGCTCTAGGAAGGATTTCTTTGCACTGTGTGAGTAACTTTAAGGACTTCAGTATGGATCTGTTTAAAATAAAGCAGTAACAGGGAAACAGGTGGGCTTTCCTACATATTGAGAAACAAAGTTTAGATTAAAAACATGTAGGATTTTTTCCTCCATATATTCAACAACATTTATATTTCTCTGCTTCAGGTAGTACTGGAAGAACCACTCTTTCCGGATCAAAAAAATAAATAAAAATGAACAGTTACTTGAGTACCTGTGGTATCTCATAAAGTGTGGGGTTAAATCAGGGTAGGCAAACTACGGTCCACGGGCTGTGTCTGGCCCATCAGACCTTTTAAACCGGCCCTTGAGCTCCCACTGGGGAGCGGGGTCGGGGGCTTGCCCCGCTCTGCACGTGCCGTAGCTCTGCGTGGCTCCCGAAAGCAGTGGCATGTCCCACCTCTGTCTCCTACGCATAGGGGCAGCCAGGGGGCTCCGTGTGCTGCCCCTACCCCAAGCGCCAGCTCCACAACTCCCATTGGCCAGGAACTGTGGCCAATGGGAGCTGCAGGGGCGGCGCCTGCAGACGGGGCAGCATGCAGAGCCACCTGGCCACACCTCCACGTAGGAGCCGGAGGGGAGACATACCACTGCTTCCAGGAGCTGCTAGAGGTAAGTGCCATCCGGAGCCATTCCCCCTGCCACCCTCCTGCACCCCAACCCTCTCATCCCCAGCCCAGAGTCTGCACCCCCAGCTGGAGCCCTCACCACCACCACCCCGCACCCCAACCCCTTGCCTCAGCCCAGAGCCACCTCCTGTACTCTGAACCCCCCAGCCCGGAGCCTCCTCCCTCACACCTCAACCCCCTTCCCCAGCCTGGAGCCCTCTCCTGCACCCCAAACCCCTCATCCCCAGCCCCACCCTGGAACCTGCACCCCTAGCCCAGAGCCCATACCCCCTCCCACACCATAACCCCCTGCCTCAGCCCGGAGCCCCTTCCCATACGCCAAACCCCTCTGCTCCACCACCACCCCCCAGCCTCCTCTTGCACCCCAAACCCCTCATTCCTGGCCCCACCCCAGAGCCCACACCTCCAGCCAGAGCTCTCATCCTTCTCACATCCCAACCCCCAGCCCGGAGCCCCCTCCCGCACCCTGAACGCCTCATTTCTGGCCCCACCACAGAGCCTGCACCCCTAGCTGGAGCCCTCATCCCCTCCCACACCCCAACCCCCAATTTCATGAGCATTCATGGCCCGCCATACAATTTCCATACCCAGATGTGGCCCTCAGGCCAAAAAGTTTGCCCACCCCTGGGTTAGATAGATACTTAACTTTGGGAATTTTTGTTCATATGCATGTAGTTTACTTAATCACCAAAATTGGGGTTGGGAAGGATTCTTTTCCCCATGACATACTGGCAAGAACTTGAGGAGCTGGGACACTGTTGATATATCCAGAATGGTTGATTTCTGTGATTGCAGGGGGATGGGAAGATCACAGTTCAGATTGTGCTCAGTTACCCTACACTTGGCATAGCAGTGGTTTATGTTACTCTGCTTAACCAAAATGCCCAGTTAACTGAAGTGGCGTCCCTCAAGGTTGTATTGTATTCTTCATTATGTGCCAGAATCCAATGGAGGGAGGGATGAGGGACACATTGCACAGACTTACCAAAGATTCCTCTGAGTTTTCTGAAGGTTTCCTGTGTCTCTTGCCACCTCTAGAAAGTCAGGGTTGTACTATATCCATTTGCCATTTTTTGTCTGAAACCTTTTAAAATAAAGTGGTTGCATGAGCTTTCCAAGAGACAGAACTTAATAGCTTGCTGTCACATCAATGGTAACTCAGGCTTTGCTCTTCTTTCGTAGGGTTATATATAATGTATTAAACACCCAGAGGAGTTCTTTTAATCCAAGCTGAGGAAACTTATGGTAGCTTTAGAAATAATTCTGTCCAAGATGCTATTCAAGCATATCCATTACTACTTTCATTAAACTCTTCCTAGGGTCAGGACATAAGTGCAAGCATTTCCCCAAGCATTCCTAATGCTTTTTGAACTGCTCTCCCAAGGGCAGAAAAAGCATAGAAAATAGCATTTAATGCTATGGCACTAAGTACTGTTCTCACATCATAAACTCTAAATGAAGTACGGTCTCCTTCTTAGAGACCCACCTCCTCGGGGACAGAGAAGGTAGTAAAATAGGCTAGACAGGCTATGCACTATGGAAAGATAAAAAATATAATAGCACTTAAAAGTTCGGACTCAGTCCTCTTTAGTACAGGTAGGTATTCACTTTCCAAAACATGGAAGAGTAGGAGCGAGCAAGCTCGGAATATGTAAGAAAGAAAAGCTCAGGTTTTCATAGTCTGACATTTACAAGGTGTTTTCCCCCTCCAAAAAAAGTAGTCACCACAGTGTGAGTTTCTGTGTTCACTTTATCATGTTCCAGTGTCTTTACATGATGTTATGATTAACCCCATTGAATGACACTTGCTTTTCCTCAGATGTTCCCAAAGAGCAGAGACTTCAGGCCTTGCAGGCAGCCATCATGTTGATGTCAGACGAAAACAGGGAGGTTTTGCAGACTCTGCTGTGTTTCCTGAGTGACGTCGCCTCTGTAGAAGAGAATCAAATGACTCCGATGAATGTAGCTGTGTGTCTGGCCCCTTCCCTTTTCCACCTTAATATATTAAAGAAGGAAAGCTCACCAAGGTAAGTAATTGTCTGGGCTGTCCCCTTATCTTTTACAGAAAGGGCTGGAGTTTAAAACTTAAATAATATTGTATTAGCATGATACTTTTGATGTTTAGACCAACATTTGGGATCAGATTTTCAAAGGCGACTGTTGACTATCGCACCCCAAGATTTGAGCATGCATTCTTTGAGAAGGCATTACAGAGCCAAAAGGGCATTTACACACAGAGAAAGTCATTTAATTCTTACACAAGTAAATGCCCATTTTCATCTCTAAATTCAGTGGGTGTGTGAGTATGTTTTGTAGGGGTAGTTTTGGCTTTTGAAGGCACCGAGCCTGATTCTGCTGCCATTGGAGTCAATGGGACTTTTGCCATTGACTTCAGTGTGGAGAAGATAGGTCCACAGTTTTGTGGGCATGGTTTTTAACAAGCACATTTTCAGTCCATGGTACAAGGTTGCAGGCACACAATTCCTGTCAAAGTCAATGGGTGTGTTCTGGCTTAAATCCTGTGCAACCCCAAACTTCACCCACATCATTATTAAAGAGGCATCATGGGAAGGGGAGGGGTAAGCACGGAAAGCTTGTGTTCTAATCCCAGCTCTGCCAATGACTCGCTTTGTGTATACTTGAGTAGCATTCTGCTAACTGGAAAATTGAGCTCATTTCAGGCCATGTTCCTGTCGTTCATAACATGGTGAATATAGATTAAACGGGGCTTAGATCCATCCAAACATTGGTGGCCCATCTAAATGCCCCCTCTGCATTCCCTTCCCATCCCTGCCAAAGATATTACTATGACCATATTTGGAATCTGTTCAGATATATGGGTCTGGAAAAGTCTCCTTGTAGCCAGTGCCTTGCCAAGCATTTTAAATGATGACAGGATAGAATACTGGGCATATTTGTTGATGGTCTGTTGCAAAATGTATGATATGCAATGTACAACATCTTTAAATGTTCCTACTTTTAACTTTGGCTTGAGAATATTTTAGGTAAACACTTTTCCTTTGGAATCAAAAAAAGGTTTTGTGTGGTCTGAATGATCTCTTTGAATTTTAAATTTAGAAGATTTTCTCTGTGGCTATGAGAACATTGTGCCATTACGTTTACTTTCATATTAAAAAGATCCAGCTCCTCTTACCTGAGACACTGAATTCAATTACAGAGTAATACAGAAAAAATATGCAACAGGAAAGCCAGATCAGAAGGATCTCAGTGAAAACCTGGCAGCTACTCAGGGACTTGCACACATGATAATAGAATGCAACAAACTTTTTGAGGTGAGTGGAAGACTCAGTATTATTCATGGAGACCACAGCACATAGTAGAGCAGCCTTTGAAATATTTACAATTTAGACTTACATTTCCTCTCTCATTTTAGCTTAGAGAGCAATGGTTCCTAACTTACTTATAAGCTTGTTCCATCTGAAGTTTATTTCTCATTTCTTTTTGACCGTCTCCTTCTACTTTTCAGAGATGCAGATATTAGCAACATTGGTTTATTATCCTTGGGAAGTTTGCAGCCCAAAATTCTGGGTTAACAAATTTTACTTTAAATGTTAAAACAACAGATTTTACTATAATTAGTTATATGTTTTAGTATCTTACTTTTAAAAAAATCCAAAAGGGAGCTTACATACTTTGTTCTGTATGTAGTGTAACAAAGCTGTAGTTGCCTAGGACTACACAGTAATTACTGAACTATATGAACTGGCACTTGCCATTTCAGGGATAGAACTTGTATCCTCCTGCTCCAAAAGTACATGCTAGTCTTTTTTGAGCTAAAGGAGAATCTCTATTAGCACTAAAGGGTCTTTGACATACAGTTGAACAGTCTGATTCCATCCAGTAGAGAGCTGTGGCTATTTCATTATCATATCTTGATATCTCATGATTAACAGTAGGCAAAGATAACTGTGGGTATCTGCTTTCATAGATTCATTGTGCTTGTGTGCAGGATAATACATCATGCTAGAGAATGCTTCTCTTAAAGGGCAGTTCTCAAAATAAGCCTCTACCTCTAAGTTTTACCTGCTTTCTTTGGAGCAGGTCCCCCATGAGATGGCAACCCAATCTCGGAACTCCTATGTGGAGGCTGAAGTGCATTGTCCAACAGTGGAGGAACTAGGAAAGCAAATGGATGAAGAAGGAGGAAATTACCAAATGTACCTTGAAAGTCTGATGCAGAACCTTCAGAAAGAAGCAAAAGAGAAATTCAAAGGATGGATCACCTGTTCTAGCATAGAGAACACAGACCTCGCTTACAAAAAGGTAATTTCAAGAGATGTGGAAGAAGTAAAAAACAAAACAAATTAAAAAAAAATCGAATCTACCCATTTCTACCCATAGGGCCCATTGGTTCATTACATGGCTGAATAAATGCCTTTACTATTTTTTAAGTCTTCTACAGGCAGGTAAACAATATTCTTTGCGGGGGGGAATCCTGTTAAAACTTCCTATATAAATAAATAGTTAATAGAAATGTAACATGGCAGTGATCTATGTATGATATTCCTGGAAATGGGCACACAGAAACCGTAGTAAGATCTCAAACTAACAGGCAGAGGAAGTGATAAAGCAAACCATGAAGAGATAGAGAGAAGAAAAGAGGAAAAATAGATTGTATTATTTGAGTGAGTTGTTTGAGAAGGGGATGGCCTTCTGCTTCTCCTGCAAACAGGTCACTGGAACATAGTAGAGAAAGTTTTCTAAAGCTTGAGGAGATTTGGAAGGTGGGGGCGGGGGGCACGGAAAACTTTGTTAATGTAGATACCGTATAGCTTCCTGCCTGTTCTACCAGGGTAGTCCTGCACAGTTGTGAAAATGTTAGATCTATGATTTTAGGATAATTTTGTCACCACTCTATTCAGATGGAGGCTTTCCCCATTACAACAAGGGGGAAGTTAATATTAACAAAGGGGAAGGAATGCAAGCCAAAATAGAGAAAAACAGGTTAAAGAATATTTAGATAAGATAGACATATTCAAGTTAGCAGGACCTGATGAAATTCATTATAGGACACTTCAGAAACGAGCTGAAACAATCTTGGAATCATTAGCAATTATCTTTGAGAACTCCTGGGGGGTAAAGTCCCAAAAGACTTGAGAAGGGTAAACATAGTACCTGTCTCTAAAAGGGGGAACAAAGAGAACCCGAAGAATTATAGACCAGTCAGCCTAACAATCAGTTTGTATGCACCCTAAGGAAAATAGGGTTATCAGGAATAGCCAGCATGGATTTGTCAAGAACAAATCATACCAAACCAACTTCATTTCCTTCTTTGACAGGGTTACCGGCCTAGTGCATTGGGGGGAAGCATGACATAGTATATCTTGATTTTAGTGAGGCTTTTGATGCAGTCCCACGTGATGTTCTCATAAGCAAACTAGGGAAATGTGGTCTAGCTGAAATTACTATAAGGTGGGTGCACAATGGGTTGAAAGACTGTACTCAGAGTAGTTAACAACAGTTTGCTGTCAGACTGGGAGGGCGTATCCTACCGAGGTCAGTCCTAGGTCTAGTACTATTTAGTAGTTTCATTAATGACTTGGATAGTGGAGTGGAGAGTATGCTTTTAAAATTTGCAGATGACACCAAGCTGGGAGGGGTTGCAAGAACTTTTGGAGGACAGAATTAGAATTCAAGATTACCTTGACAAATAGGAGAATTGGTCTGAAATCAACAAAATAAAATTCAGTAAAGACAAATGCACAACTACAAAATGGGGAATGACTGACTAGGTGGTAGCACTGCTGAAAAGGGCCTGGGGTTATAGAAGATCACAAATTCAATATAAATCAACAATGTGATGCAGCTTCAAAAAAGGTTAATATCATTCTGAGCTATATTAAAATGAGTGTTGTATGTAAGACACGGAAGGTAATTGTCCCACTCTACTTGGCACTGGTGAGGCCTCATCTGGAGTACTGTGTCCGATACTGGGTACCACGCTTTAGGAAGTATGTCAACGAATTGGAGAGAATCCTGAGGAGAGCAACCAAAATGATAAATAGTTGAAAAAACCTGACCTATGAGGAAAAGTTAAAAGAGTGCATGTTTAGCTGTGCTGTTAAGGGCTGTTATAAAAAGGACTGTGATCAATTGTTCTCCATCTCCACTGAAGGTAGAAAAAGAAGTAATGGGCTTAATCTGCAGTGAGAGAGATTTAGGTTAGATATTAGGAAAACCTTTCTAAATATAAGGATAGTTAAGCTTTGGAATAGGCTTCCAAGGGAAATTGTGGAATCTGCATCATTGGAGGTTTTTAAAACAGGTTGGATAAACACCTGTCAGGGATGGTCTAGGTTTATTTGATCCTGCCACAGCACGGGGGCTATCCCTTCCATCCCTACCTTTCTATGATCTTGGACTTTCTGTGGTTTTCTCCCCACTATGGTGCTGTATCAAGTAACAGAACCCAAGGGCTAGTGAGCAGAATTTTTGCTATAAAAGCTATTTTCCTACTTTTGGGGCCCTAGAAAGAGGAACCTTTATCCATCCAGACACTAGAATGAGTCACCATGTCAATTACTCTTGAAAACTGTGGTTAATGCAACTCCACTGATTAGCCAAAAGGGTTAATCCTCTGTACACAGCATCACCTCAGATTGCCCAAGTGTTTCAGATTGAACATGGGACTCTTTCAGGGCAATCAGAGTTTCGGGTGCTGGGCCAAGAAATCAGTCTTATTCTAATCATAATGTATATCACCTACCCTTTCTTCAGTCCCTCTTACCAGCTATTTTTCAAACATTCTATGACCTCTTCAGGGAAAATCCCACGTTCTACTTAATATCTTTGAGGTATCAGGGGATAGCCGTGTTAGTCTGTATCCACAAAAACAACAAGGAGTCCGGTGGCACCTTAAAGACTAACAGATTTATTTGGGCATAAGCTTTCGTGGGTAAAAAAACTCATTTCTTCAGATGCATGGAGTGAAAGTTACAGATGCAGGCATTATATAATGACACACAGGGCCGGCTCCAAGTTTTTTGCCACCCCAAGCAAAAATATTTTCCTACGCCCCCCCGGTCCCGCCCCAACTCCGCCCCTTCCCCACCCCATTCCAACCCCTTCCCCAAATCCCCGGCCCCACCTCCTCCCCCGAGCGCGACGCATTTCCCCTCCTACCCCGCCCTCCCAGGCTTGCCTGGGAGGGATGGGGCAGAAGCAGAGTGGCGGCGTGCTCGGGGGAGGAGACGGAGGCGAGCTGGGGGGGGGAGTGGTTCCTCTGCCCCCCCCCAGGGTTACTTCCTGCAGCCTTCCCCGCACCCCCCACTGCCGCAGCTCACCTCCGCTCCGCCTGCTCCCCTGAGACTGCTGCCGCCACTCTGCTTCTCCCCCCTCCCTCCCAGGCTTGCCGCAAAACAGCTGATTCGCGCGGCAAACCTGGGAGGGAGGGGGGAGAAGTGGAGCGGCGGCGCGCTCAGGGGAGCAGGCGGCAGTGGAGCGGAGGTGAGCTGGGGGGGAGCGGTTCCTCTGCCCCCCCACCCCCCAGGGTTACTTCCTGCAGCCCTCCCCGCGCCCCCCACCGCCGCAGCTCACCTCCGCCCAGGGCCGGCTCCCGGCTTTTTGCGCCCCAAGCAAAAAAAATAATTAATAAAAAAGGAGCCGGAGTGTCGCTCCTTGGAAAGTGCCGCCCCAAGCACATGCTTGGAGCGCTGGTGCCTATAGCCGGCCCTGATGACACATGAAGAGAAGGGAGTACCTCACAAGTGAAGTGAACCAGTGTTCACAGGGCCAATTCAATCAGGGTGGATGTAGTCCACTCCCAATAATAGATAAGGAGGTGTCAATTCCAGGAGAAGCAAAGCTGCTTTTGTAATGAGCCAGCCACTCTCAGTCCCTATTCAAGCCCAAATTAATGGTGTTAAATTTGCAAATGCATTTTAGTTCTGCTGTTTCTCTTTGAAGTCTGTTTCTGAAGTTTTTTGTTCAAGAATAGTAACTTTTAAATCTGTTATAGAATGTCCAGGGAGATTGAAGTGTTCACCTATTGGCTTTTGTATGTTACCATTCCTGAGATCCGATTTGTGTCCATTTATTCTTTTACGTAGGGACTGTCTGGTTTGGCCAATGTACATGGCAGAGGGGCATTGCTGGTACATGATGGCATATATAACATAAGTAGACATGCAGGTGAATGAGCCCTTGATGGTGTGGCTGATGTGGTTGGGTCCTCTGATGGTGTCTATAAGTGAGGACTGGCCTGCCTGTCTCTTTGTGAGCCCTTGGGAGGCAGGCCAGTCCTCGCTTACAGACAACCGGATTCCTTGTTGTTTTTGAGGTAGGAACTTTGGGCCAAATTGGCATCTCAGTCCCACCAATATAAATAGAGCAATGCCAGTGCCATTGAAGGATCTAATCCAGATTTACATTGGTGCGAGAACAGAATTTAACCTACTGTCTCATTTTTCTAAGTGTCAGCACATGTATATTTCTATATAAACAAATAATATTGAACATGCCTGTAAATATAAATGCTGTGCAACTTCATCTTAAACTTGAGCTCTGAGTCCTCGCCAGAAATTCTTTAATCATTCCACACCGAGAACATATTCATAGTTCCAGCATTTCCATTTTTTCTTTATTGTTTACTCAAGGTTGGGGATGGCAACCCACTCAGGCTTTGGAAAGCTTCAGTGGAAGTTGAAGCACCCCCATCAGTTGTACTGAATCGAGTTGTAAGAGAACGTCACCTTTGGGATGAGGACTTCTTGCAATGGAAGGTCGTAGAAACTCTGGATAAGCAAACAGAAATCTACCAGTATGTATTGAACAGCATGGCACCCCATCCTGGCAGAGACTTTGTAGTTCTAAGGTAAACTTTCTAAAGGCAACCTTCTAGCCTCTTACTTCTCCACCAGGAGTTTCTGCTATTAGAAAGATCTGGTCTTATATAGCTTTCTCCTTAACATTTATACACTAAGTATACTATGTCATCTACATATAGGCTGTAATATTTTATTTCTCAAAGTGAATTTAAAACTATGCACTTAGAGCATACTGATCTGTTCCTCAATGACATTTGAGCAACAGTCTTGCAAAACCCATGTATCAGAACATAAATATTATTCATTCCTTAGGACAGATGCCTGATAATAGCTGCTCTCAAAATAATGCAGATATAACCCAACTGTTTTTTTCTCCTGCTTTTGCCATGCTGTTTGGAAAATGGTGGATCTCTCATTTTGCTTGAGTTTGACGAGCCAGCTGTTTAGTAGAAAAAAATGCTAATACATTTAAGTTAAGGTTACTAGATAACATTTAAAGTTGGAACATTTGTAGACCAAGAAATGCTACCATTTTTTTTAAAAAGCTAAATATTTAAAAGTATGGACATGAACTATCAATGGAAGGTAGATCCATATTCATATATCCTCCATGTTCATGCAGTGTCTCAAATAAATGTGTATGTGTAAATTAGCTCATTGGACATTCCAAAAACAGCCTTAACTCTGCTCACACACAACCTATAAACAAGAAACCCTCTTAAATGCACCTGCCCCTTTGAAACCTTAATGGTTGGTTCTTGGCCTACCCATCAGGGCAAAAAACTGGAATGGTGTGTAGAAAGATTTCAGCTACAGAAGAGCTGTCCCTAACTCAGCCATCAGCTGTTGAATGTTTCCTTCTGATTGATTGTGTGCATTATTGTTCTGGGCCTCTGCTTTCTCTTATTGGAATGATATGCCACTGAAATGATATGCAGTTTTGACAAAGGAAATGATCCAGCAAATCAGAATTGCATTAGGGAGAAAAATGATGTAAGGTAATAGAAGAGCCCAATGAAATATAATTATATCAATATATCCCTTTTATTGTTAACTTTTGTATTCTGTCAGAGAATAACAACTTGCAGACATTATTGGTATAAAGGAAAGCACTACTGGAATTCCTAAGAGAAGTTTAAAAATACTTTCTGTAATTTCTTTCTGATCAGAAAATATTAGACCTTACATTACACATTTTCCTTTGCCTGCCCAAGATTTACTGACTGGGCTAAATTCCTCCCTGGTATAACTCTATGAACTTCATTTCATTTACACCAGAGATTAATTTGGCCCACTATGGCATTCCCTCCTTGCCCCAAGAAGATTGTGTAGCAGCAGTCAGTGAGGTTTTTAACCACCTTTATTCTGGGTCATATTATTTTCCTTTCAGTTCACCATACGTCACAGTGTTTTATGTTCCTGAAAAACCCACAGTGCAGTCACATTCATCAAACAAAATCTTGAGAACAAGTTTTCATTCTCATCATTAACCTAGCCAGGATGGCTCAGCAACACCACTGTATATCACTGAATGAAATATATGTATCATAAAAGGGAATCCTGGCTGGTTTATGATGCGCTGAAAACAGGTAGGAGAGACCAAGCAGTAGGCTTGTTGTTTACATCCTTTGATTTGTGTTGAGGCTGGAGCTATGTTAACCAATCAGATTGCCTGTCCTAATTAATGCACCTTGATTGGCAGCAACTGAGTTCAGTGAAATTATTAACCTCTAGAGAAGTGAGTTATTCACTTTACAGGACCGCTAACTTCCATCTCACCTTCAAAATGTTCGTTTTATACTTTTTAAATTCAGGGCTATCATTGAAAGGTATCAAAATGTTTCTAAAAATGATAATTGGGATATGTGGAAGAATGCATATGTCTGACTTTACATTTTGGAATGAATGTGAGCCTTAGAGGGGGGAAATATTGATATACAGTACTTTGCACTTATATAATACCTTTCATCAGAGGATCTCAAAAGGCTCAACATTAATTGATCCTCACAAGTGCTGTAGTGCAATCTCTTTATTGTGGAAGTGCAGAATTTTTTTTACATAAGTGCACTCAATACCAAAACAATGGAAAATTTTAGAGCCTACAAGTCCACTCAGTCCTACTTCTTGTTCAGCCAATCGCTAAGACAAACAAGTTTGTTTACATTTAGGGGAAATCATGCTGCCTGCACCTTATTTACAATGTCACCTGAAAGTGAGAACAGGCATTTGCATGGCACTGTTGTAGCCGGCATTGCAAGGTATTTACATGCCAGATATGCTAAACATTCGTATGTCCCTTCATGCTTCAATTTGTAGGCGTTAAAGTTTTACATTGTTTTGGTTTTGAGTTCAGTTATGTAACACACAAAAAATTCTACATTTGTATGGTGCACTTTCACAATGAAGAAATTGCACTACAGTACTTGTATGATGTGAATTGAAAAATAATATTTCTTTTGTTTATCTTATTTACAGTGCAAATATTTGTAATAAAAAATAATAAGTGAGCAGTGAACACTTTGTATTCTGTGTTGTAATTGAAATTAATATATTTGAATGTGTAGAAAAACATCCAAAAATATTTATAATAAATTTAAATGGGTATTCTATTATTGATCAATCGCGACTATTTTTAATCCCACGATAAATTGCAATTATTTTTTTTTAATTGTTTGACAGTCCTACTTAAAACCATGAATCTGTGAATCAATCAAACTTTCGGAGTCTAGCTCTTGCTTTCTGCACTGCTCAGAGCTTTCGTTCTTTCTCTAAACGTGATACTTTCTTTCTTAAATGTCTTGTGACAGGACATGGAGGACAGATTTGCCAAAGGGAGTGTGCACACTAGTGGCCGTCTCTGTGGAACATGAAGAAGCTCCTCTGATAGGAGGTGTACGAGCAATTGTGATGGATTCTCAGTATTTAATAGAGCCTTGTGGCTCAGGAAAATCCAGGCTGACGCATGTCTGTAGAATTGATCTGAAGTAAGTACCTGCAGAGAGCAAATCAGTGACATCCCCTCAGTAAACCAAAAATCTCTAAGCTTAGATCATCAGGATTAGCCAAGAAAGGGCAGTTGTGCGTTCCTAGTAGTAATACAAGAGCTGCACTATTTCCTGTATGCAGTCAGTGTCAGTAGTTTATAGGGATTTAATGCATTTTCTGAAATAATGTTACTTTTAAAAGATGAATGAAGCAAGATAAGAACTAAAGTGCTGTTCTCGTCCAAAAAATGACTGAAAATGGCACCTTCTTCCTGAACTGGTCTGCTCTTGGTGCATATTCAGGGTCATAGCTGCTCACATTAGTGACAAAAATATGGCTTTACTTCTGTTTACTCCTGTTAGACCTGCAGCGTCAACACAGCTAAGACAGTGAGAGACAGATTCTGTTTCTTAGTATGATTCATTAGCAGCATTGTTTACTAAGTTCTACTCAGTTATGTTTATGCAAAACTACTGAAGGCCATGTGGGTTTGCACTGAGGACTTAGTTTGAAGATCATGGGGCTGCCCACGAGCAAATGGGGGCCTAACTTGGCCTGGAGAACTGTTATTGGTTATGATGTATAAAAATGAAAGAACCAGGTTGAATTTGCAGGGATGGCAGTTACAAGAAAAAAAAATTCTAAGCCTAACACAATAGAAATAATTGAAAGGCAAACAGAGAATCCCAGTATGCATTTCTGCAGAATCACATTTTATGCAGAATTGCTCTTTTAACATACCAGAAAAGTCTATGGTAGCTCCATCATATTTCAGTGTTCAATGTAGGGTTTATTTACTGCAGGTATGGTAATAATGGAGCACAAATTGTATTCTATATAGGTTCTTATACTGGGCTTATCACCATAGTATCTGAGCACATTCCAGTAGTGCATTAAGCAACGTGACTAACATCTGTCATCTATTTGTTCCCTCACGAATTGTGCGCAGTGGCATGTTTATGGTTTTGGATTATTTTTAATATATCGCGATATATTTTTAGATAAGGCAAAGTCAAAGAAATGTTGCACTTGGAATGTAAGGTGGTGAGGTTTGTGATGGTCCTTAATTCCTGGAGGAGTTCATTCCATTTCTTGGACCTGTCCCTAAGAAAGTTCTGTCTACCATACAGTCAAGCTTTACCCTTATTGTGGAGAGTTCCATATTCCCAGAGGAGCAAAGCTGTCAATGACACTCTCCATTATGGAGTTTTAGGTGATCTCTTAGATACCCTGGGCCATTGTGCATCTTGAAGATAAGGCCTGAGACCTTAATTCAATAATCCATGGGAAGCCAGTGTAAAGAGCAGAGGACAAGTTTGATGTATTCACAACAGCCAGCACTGCTGAGGGAGAGAAATGGTACCTGCCAAGCTCATCTCTCCACCCCATGGACACCACTGTACAGCTGACATTACCGTAAGAGTGAAATGTAAATTTGAATATAGCACAGGAGAGTCTTCAAAGTACACTCGTGGTGATGGCGGTGATGGCGGTGATGATGATAAAGCATATCAGGTTCTTCAACAGCACTGTGGGATTTCAGTGAGGCTGGGGTATTACATGGCAATCCCACTCCTGTGAAGCAGTTTTTCAGTAATTTTGTTTTCTTTCATTTCCTCAGAGGCCATTCCCCAGAGTGGTACAACAAAGTCTTTGGACATTTGTGTGCAGCAGAAGTTGCCAGGATCAGAAACTCATTTCAACCTCTCCTCGCTGAGGGACCAGAAACCAAAATCTGAGGAAATATTCCAGGAATGTGTGAGCCTAAAGCAGAGTATGGTAGACAGCAGAAAGACCCAGAGCAAAGGTTTGAGTAAGGTTTTAGCATTATCTGCCATAGAAGTATGACCTGATGTCTGTACAGTGGCAAAACAGGGATTTCACAGGAAGGCCTGCTCATTCCAGAGACTTCGCCCACCTATTGCCCCATCCCTTGTATGTTAATTTCAATTACTGAAGTAAACCTTTTGTTAAAAGCTTTTATCATTGTTACTTTAAAATGAGACTATTACCATTACTTGTGTGTTGCATAATTCTGATATTTAAAAGCTTCTAAGAAGCATATTTTAATTGTAAATAAACCATGTACAGTATGTATATACTTATCTATGTATATTATATATATATCTATATATGTATATGTAAAGTAATTATTTTGTATATAATTTAGTGCTTTCTAGGAGAAATCATCTGCATCATTTTTGACCTTATATGGACCTATTCTTGTTGCTTGTTTCTCAGTGTTTCACAGCTACATAAGCTGTGTTTGTTATTATCGCAAGGCTACGTGACATAATCTGTGTGATATCTAACAGAAAAATGGATGACTGGCTGTTCTCATTTTTGTTGTGTGTGTTTGGGGTGTAAACTACAAGAAGGTACATAGAAATAGATGTAGGGAGTTTAGAAGGGATAATTGTATGTTTAAAAATAATGAACAGCAGTTCACTGTCACCAAAAAACGCTAACATGGACATTGTAACTGGTATGCACATTTTGAAGACCCTTTACAATGAGCTGTAGGAAGTTTATGACTATTCCATGATAGCTCTTGAAAACTTGCCTGTTGCCTTAAACAACTAAGTAGCTGCAGTTAGAGGACCTCACCATTTGCAGTCGTAAAGCTACTTCCTATATTAAGTCTAGAGCAGTTCAAAGGAATGTTGCAGATACTGAGGTAACCTTAACTGTTCATCTGAAGTCAAACTGGCAAGTTATTAAGGGCTCCACTCTGAAGCCTTTCTTTTAGATTTCTGGCTAAGTATGTACTTAGGGAACTGTTCTTTCCCTCTTCTGTCAAGATATTTAATTGTTAACCAAAGTCCAAAGCAGTGTTTCCACCCTAGATGGACCCAGATGTGCAGCTAAATATACTTTTTTATATATTTCACTATAGGGCTGGTCCACACTAACCCCCCACTTCGAACTAAGATACGCAACTTCAGCTACGTTAATAACGTAGCTGAAGTCGAAGTACCTTAGTTCGAACTTACCGCGGGTCCAGACGCGGCAGGCAGGCTCCCCCGTCGACTCCGCGTACTCCTCTCGCGGAGCAGGAGTACCGGCGTCGACGGCGAGCACTTCCGGGATTGATCCAGGATCGATTTATCGCATCTAGACAAGACCCTAAAAAGTAACAATTCTTGGGAAAATAGCTTTTTGGGTAAGAGCGAACATTTTCATTTTAAGCACTGCACTGATCTTAGCTATGGCACCCATTCTACTTCTGTTAACAACAATGGGAGCAGGATCAAATCTACTGGACCATTTCATTTTCAGGGACTTAACATTTTGCTAAGTGGAAGAATGCTTTAAAAATGTTTGTTAGCTATGAGACAGGGTTTTTGTTTGTTGTTTTTTTAAACTAACATAAGATCAAAAATGTAATTATATACATGAATCAGTTTAAAAAAACCACAGGTCTATTAATACAACACTCCTTCATTACTCAGATATTTGTTCACCTTGACTTTATTTATTGCTGCATTAGCCAGTTTGGTCATTCATAACCAGTGTTTTAGTTCACTTCTTTAAATGAATTCTACCTACATTTATTGTGAGTTTTAATCTATGAGATTTATCATCCTACTAGTAGCTACTGAGATTTATATCATGATTCAGTGGTGCTGGAGTAATGGCTTCACAGAGGGACTCTGCCTCTGTACTTTGAATGTGCTTAAATTACATCTTTTGTGTTGTGTTTGTTGTCAGCAATGTGCAATTATATTATTAAGAAGTATTAGAGAGAGATGAGTACTGAGATACCTTCATAAACCTCCAAATATCATAAGACAGCTATATGCCACAAAAACCAATCCTGCCATTCTGGCTTGTCATTTTCCAGTGATGGTGGTTCAGGAACATATGATTTTCCATCCTGGAGTAGATCACTGGTGAATCAAGATCAGTTTCCTACTGTCAGCCGTTATCACTACTGTAAGATTCAAGAAGGCATGCCCTCTCATAAGGCACATAGCCACCTGAGCAGTATTTTACATGGAGAAGGACATTTTTGCTGCCCCCCAACCGCTGGCACAGCCTATTCCCTGAAGCATGAGAGTTCAATGCCCTTATCGTACATGAGCTTACATAAGTGAATACAACACTGCCGGTGTACTAATCAACCCAGAATTATCCAGGCACTGCAAACAAATAATTTCTGGAAGAAAAATGTAGCAAACCAGGACGAGTTGTCTTATCCTGAGATAATCAGTTGGAGGAGTTGCCAAAAGCCCCCTATTATAATTACAAAAATGGCAGAGGACCCCTCATGGTTAGGGGGGGAACAGAAGCTTTGTAGCTGTACTTGCAGCATCTCTAAGCCATGTATCGATTAAATACATTTTCTTTTAAAATGTGTATTAAGGCACATATCTACCAGTCAGACACTACAGTATTTTGTATTAAGTGTTATGCTGCCATTTGGAATACAATATGACAACCACATTTTGAAATGTTATACTCATATTAATACCTCATATTTTTACCTCATTTTTTAGTATCAGTCATCAATTGTAGATAAGTAATGGCAGAGGTGAATAAATGTGCATACATTAAAGCTTCAGCGTTCCTTTACCTCTATGTGTTCATTTCTTCTATGCTGGGACTGGAAACAAACCTGGAGTGTGGAGCGGCTCCCTCCCTGCCAGTGCTCACACACCATGAGGGCTACAGTGATGTGAGTTTTGCTAGTGGAACGCCCAGAGGGCTTCAATACCAGTGAGTCTAACTTCTTAGGTTTCCAAGTTTCTCAGCCCTTACACAAAATTATAGTGGTTGTCCCGCCCCCTCCTCTCCTTCCCATAACTATTAACCCAGTGGTTAGAGTCCCCACCCTCCCTGATGTGGAGGATGAGTGCCCTAACCCACTGGGCTACAGCGTCATTCTTACTCTCACTGTGGGACCATGAGTATGTAATTACTTATACAAAGTTGCACAGCTCCAACAGGTGAGATTCGCCCAGGATGTGGGAGCCCTGGCTGTCAAAGCGCTAACCGCTGGGCTAAAGGTTATAAGGGGGACCCAACCACCACCACCGCCTTCTCATTTTATTGTGAGAAAGCACACAGGCCCGTAACTCCAGCAGAAGGCTGATGGGTGTGAATCCCAACCAGAGGGAAGCGCTTCCCTCCAGCCTACCGCAGGGCTCTAGATTTCACTAAGTGGCAGGGTACACAGCGCTGGTGGAGCATAAATCCCTTTAAGGGGCAGGGCTTTTGCCTCATCCCCTCACCTCCACATTTCCTGTTGGCCAGTTTAGGCAGCTCTCTGCGCAGCGTGCTGGCTTTTGTGGATCCAATTCTGAGGCGTGTAACTCTCCCCTGCAATGTAGCAGGAGCTTGGGTGCCTACACTTGGGGCTCCGTATTCCACTATGTGGCAGGGCACCTACATGTTAAGTGTTGCAACAATGAGGCTAAGTCCCCCTTGTGGATCCAGTCCGAGGAATCTTAGGCTGCATCTGTTCTTTAAAATACAATACTCCAACCTTGCAAGTAACCAAAGAGCTCCTCTTGCTCAGATGTGCTCCCTCCACCCAGCAGGGCTGTCAAAGACCTAGGGCAGGCAGGAGTGGAGCCAAGGAAAGCATTGGAAAGACAGGGCTCCATAGAAACAATGTTCCAAGCCCCACAGAGGTTGGCCTGACACAGACATCTCACCTCTCCTGCTTAAAATGCTGGATTAGGGCCCCACTCTGGCTTCCCTTTTTTCACCACCCCAGGCATGAGGGCAGCACAGTCCCTGCTTGCCCGGGCTGCAGGTTGTTGGCTGCACTCTTTGACTTCACCAAGAAACATGTGGGATTAGTTAATGTTGCTACTAATTGTTGTGCTCACACCTGCTTCCTCCCTCACTGGTTCCCTCATAAATGCCCTTGTTTTCACACGATACTGGTATAGCAAAGGTGCTAATGAGGTGACTGATGTAGAAGCATCCAGGATTAAACACTCCATGGGAACAGTTTAAAATGTCATGCAGGGAGTCATTAAGGATTTGTAGGAGTTAAAACTGTCCTGGCTCAACCTTTAGACATTTCTCACGGCAGGGCTACACTACCGCTTAAGTTGATCTAACTTACATCGCTCAGGGATGTGAAAAGGCCTGAGCGACACAACCTAAGCACTGTCCACACCAATGCTATGGCAGCATGAGACACTCTCCCGCCAACATAGCTTCCGCCTCTCACGGAGGTGGAGTAATTATGCCGATGGGAGAGCACTCTCCCGTCGGCCTAGAGCGTCGTCACCAGACCTGCTACAGCGGTGCAGCTGCATTGGTGCAGGCAGCAGCACCAATGTAGCGTTTCTAGTGTAGACCTGCCCTCAGCTTCCTTTTTATTTTAGAGCAGCTCCACACAAGGCAGGTTGATGGCCAGGACACATTCCCAGACGATGTAGTCTAGAGGTTTCCCAGGTATAAAGTTCAGGGGCTGAGGGAGGAAAAGAGGCTTAGGATGTGCTTAAGCACTTTGGCACAGCTCCTCCGAGGTACTTAGGCACTTAAATACATTTGAGGAGCTGGTCTTTGATCTTCCTGAGTTTTGGGTGAGTCCTGGAGGGGTCAGATGCCAAAGACAGCTGCAGCTTGGAACACAGGAACAGTGATGTACCTGAGATTTTTGCTAAAGGAAGTTGCCTGTGTGGTTTATTGCCACCTCTATTTAAGAAAACAGGCCTTGTGTACAATTTGTAAATAACAAATGTCATTAAGAAAATACCTGATTCTGCATTACCAATTTCTGCTCCAAGCAGGGAACCAATCTAACAAGCCCCCAAAAATCTCCTTCCTCGGTGCCACAATATGTAAAGCCTCACCATGTTATCTTCACAGCAGCAGACACCAGCCAGTGTTCATTTTTTTAAACAAAACATGAGGTTCTGCAGAAGCACAACGAAGACAATCAGAAAACCCTGCAATTGCAGACACTGCGGTGCCTTTTGCATCTTCTTCACAGCCTCTCAAAGACAAACACTGAAATACAGCTCACACAATAGTCACAAGTGACAATTTGCTATCACTTGCCTGACCCCTTGCAAGTTATGGGAGTAACGTGGCTGAATGGCCATCTATCCCTCCTCAAGCAATTCCTACTCTTTCCTTGAGCATGGTAAGAATGACTCCCTTTCCTTGCGAGACTGCATGCCAAATCAGTGTTATCAATTTTAAAAGGGGGAACCATAGACCAGTCACCCTATCAGCAGCATCTGCTCATCCCACTGGGCATGCAAAACAAGAGCTGGCTAGGTGCTTGCTTTCAGCTTTACACCGAACAAGCCTAAACAATCATACTGATACAAAATTGGGCCTTTTCCCTATATTGCTTGTGTAGTATAGGTGCAGTATGTGGATTGGACTGTCGCAGGCAATGAACCTAATTTTATACCCACTTTGCTATTCTGAAAGAAAGTTCCTAGTGAGCCGATGGGAGTTTGACCAGTGACTGCAGCGGGGGTAGAATTAGGCAACAGCTGAGCACTTTTGAAAACCCCACCACAACCTTTGACTTGGCAAATAAAGTGACTCCAGACAGTCAGAGTGTTTTTAAACACATTTGCACTGCTTCTTGGACAGATCTGAACTGTGGCGGGGGGGGGAGAGCCACTCTACATAGCTCCCCTGCTACTGACCTAGACAGCAAGACCAAGCTACAATGACCAGGGAGAGGGAGGCCCAGCAAGGGTGTCAGAAGCAAGCAGGATCAGCAGGGAGTGAGCTCTCTCTACACGAAATGGGAACGGAATGGGAGGGGAGGAGAGTACAAAGCAGACAGCACCCTGTGGTTAAGGTGTTGGAGGGATAAAAAAAAATCTCAGCTTCCCCATGCCACCCATTCATAGAGTTACCATATTTCAGGTTCCCCAAAAGGGGAGGAGAAGAGCTGGGGAGGGGGTAAAGTTGGAGGTGCTGAAGTGGGTACCTGTGGCGGGGGTTACTCACT